AAAACAAGCACTGGTCTAGATATTAAAAGATCTACAGAACATTATTTAAAATAGGGGTGATTAGATTTATAACAGACACTGAACAAAGACAACATAGAGTGTTAGTACATCGCATTGCGCAGCACTGAATGAATGAGTGAATGAATAAAATAATAAATGAGAATAATATTATACAATTTCCCTTCGGGCTCGGTGAATATTGTACTCCTCAGGTGTCTAAATCATCGTATTGACCTCAAAAACCAGCAATAACTGTTTTATTATATTATTAAATGATAGCAAACTCCTACAAGACTGTTTTTTTTTTTTTTTTGCTTTAATTGAAAGTTTTAACGAGAAATTTCAACAAGAACACATTGTAACATGAAAAAATGGAACAGGAATAATTCATGATATTGACCTGCAATAATTCCTTATATTGACCTGGAAGGTCACGTGATTCATTATGTTGACCTGCAATAATTCCTTATATTGACCTGGAAGGTCACGTGTAGGTCAATATAACGTAGTATTTTTCTAACATTGTTGGATCTCAGCCAATCAGAAAGAGGGAAATTATTCAATCATATAATAAACACAATTAATTAAAATAAATATCCTAAAAATAAAAAGTACAACTACCACATATATATACATGCTTTTACAGTTCTGTGAGGTCCATATGTAATACATGTATATTTGTTACCACGATTTGTTTCTGTATGAACAATTTCACTGACATGTAAAACATCATCACGGAAAAGCAGAAAGGTTGCGAAAATAAAATCGCGGAAAAGCAGGTCGGCCATTAGATCATTAAGTGAAAAAAAATCAAATGATGAATAGTTTGATCTATAAATAGAAGGGAATCCCTCTGCAAGTGATGTAAAAAATGTTACTTGGAGATGACAATTAAACAAAAAATAACGCTTTTGAAATATGAATATTCCAGGACATACTTTATTTGTCACTTCATATGATATACCCTATTTTAGTACGCGACATATCTTCGACATTGGGACTTTTTTTTGGGGGGGGGGATGTTAGAAAAGACTCTTCACTAAGACTGGTAGTTTAGATGTCTTCGGTTCAATTATTTTAAAAAAAATATGGTAAGGTGGTAATTAAAAAGTTTATTTAATCGAATAAAAAATAGAGGAAGGGGGTCCAAACATAATTGACCCCGCCCCTTTCCCGGGTACTACTTTTCTGACACTGCATAACGATTTTAAGTGATTTTATTTAATAAACACATGAATGTAATATTGGAGACAAGCAACAATCATTCACTGATTTGAATACTTGAACTGTTCAACAATATATCAAAGAATAAACAAAGGCGCAGTTTCTTATGCAGTACACTCTAATGTATGTGTTTCGAAATTAAAACGCACGTGTTACGTTCTTCTGCTACGACCCCCCCCCCCCCCTCAAAAAAAATAAATATAAATTAAAAAAATATATGAAATAAAACAAAATCATGGAAGCGATAATACATAATAAATTTAAAAAAAAATAATTCTGCTATAAGGCGAGATACATATCTGATCGGAAAAAATAACTAAATTCATCTATAAGTTACAAAAAAAGAAAATTTTCTAGAGTTTTTGTTTAAAACTAAACGAAAATCGGGAAGACATTCAATTGTTTGAATATATTTTATTGTCAAAATGCATATATGAATCGGACACAAGTCCTTCACACTCACAAAGTACTCTCCTATGATAATTCAATTTCAGTTTAATTTAGAATAAGATCTTTAATAGGCTCGGATTCTCGCTACGAAAAGGATTTGACAATTACCGCACCAGACGTCACTTTCTATTTAAAATATGTTTGCACTTATATTTCTATCCAGTCAGATAAAGCTTTCCAGAATTTATTATATCAGAAAATAATATCGTATATTGCAGTAAGTCATACGTCTATAGTATTTGATACTTAAATACATATATGTAACTAAGACTATTGCAACGCTCAGATGTACAAAGATAAGCAGATACTGTAGAACGTCCCTTCGTTTAAAGCCTTGGTCCAAGACTACAGGATATAATGCAATCTGTTATACTCGCGCGCATGCAGTTATCGCATAAACTGCAATATGAAATCAACAACTATCTTCTTTTTATAATATATTGGTAAACTGATCATGATGCTGATAGATACTTCTCTATTCCAATTTCGTTTTTTAAATGTGTTCATACAATTGAAATGCAATTTTTTACAATGTAACGTAATGACGTTACGTTACAAATAATGACGTTCCTCACCCAAATTTCAATCAAAACAATGCCATACTGTAAAATCTCTTCTTTAAAAAGTATAATAGATATCTAAAAAAGAAAAACAGCAATGAAAAGCTTAAAGTCTACACTATCTTTATTGAAGTTCTCCTTAATTTTTGAGTTGAGGCACATTTCGATGGTTCGTGGCTCTAGCTCTTTCTATATAATTTGGCTATACCTAAGTACATAACTCACAATTTAAAATCAAAACCGACCTCGCAATGTAACGAAAGCCAATTAGTATCACGCAAGTAACGTTATCAACTTTGAATTCAGTAGAATTTTGATTATTTTATCATAGAATAATAAATTTAAATCATTTTAAAAAGTTGCATTTGCACCGCTTAACTATAGCGAGGCCCAATCTAATTGATCTGCGCATACATTTTCACGAGCTTTTAACAATAGGGAATCCAATTTTTACATTGAAATATTTAGGAAAAATCTTCTTCTCAAGAACCACTGGGCCAGAAAAGCTGAAACTTATGTGGAAGCATCCTGGGGTAGTGTACATTCTAAAATAATTTAATTTTGTTTGTATGCTAGACTCTGATTGGTTAATATCCAAAAAGGAACACAAATTATTTCTGTATAACCTGGTTTGGTATGGGGACACACCCCCCTGACAACCAGCTGAATCATCTGAATCCATACAATCCTCTCATTTCCAGTCCTTGGGATTCATGGAAAATTCCAGATTTAATAAATGTACCTTTAACTTCAAACAATAATTCGATCTTACCACATGAAAACAAACAACATGGCTGCTAGGCCTATGTATCAGTTTTTACCTCCCTTCACTTCCCATCACTTCCGTCACTTCCGTTACTACGGTTGTATTATTGAGCGGCAAATTTGAACCAATAAAAAGCAACGAAATTTAAACCCATAGTTATTTAATGATTTTAAAATTAAATTATAAGGAATGACTCTAATTCTTGGCCAAATTATTCGAGTATAACCTGGTTTGGGTCAGTTTACGCTGTTTTATAATCCGCTTCGCGGATTATAAAGCGTAAACTGACCCAAACCAGGTTATACTCGAATAATTTGGTCAAGAATTAGAGTCATTCCTAAATTATTCAAATCGTGACCCCCAGGGTTAGGGCGGGGCCACAATAGGGAATCCAAGTTTTATATGGAAATATTTAGGAAAAAATCTTCTTCTCAAGAACCGCTTGGCCAGAAAAGCTGAAACTTATGTGGAAGCATCCTGGGGTAGTGTAGATTTTAAATTGTCCAAATCGTGACCCCGGGGTTAGGGCTGGGCCACAATAGGTACATGTATTACAAGGGGGAAAACAGGTGAAGAAGTTACTCAGGTGAGCGTTGTGGGCCATGGGCCTTCTGTTTAAATGAGATATTGCATAATATTGGTGAAAAACAAAACAGTTTTACCACTTAGTTTCTTTTTAAGGTCAATTCCTTGTTTTATTAGATAGTGTTAGCATATTATTTGTGTGTAAAACCCCGGAAAATGATCCATACTTTGAAATTGCCCCCATTCACTACAATCAAAGCAAGGTAATAAAATTTGGTCCTCGTTTTTCTTAACATGGTACATGTGGTACATAAGCAGATAAACATTATACATGTTATATCTAATTAGAATTCAAAATATTTGTCGGTCAATTTTCACAGCTTCCAACTACTGTAGATTGGGCCTTGTTAATGATGTTTTATTTCATTAAGCGAATGTCTTCCATTAACTCTTCTACCACACCTTTACACAAGTTGCAAAGCATCAAATCGGCCGCAAAAATATATTTATCATAATATAAAATTGAAGTATTCCCACAATTAAGAAAGAGTCCAGAGAAAAAAATCCAAGTAGAAAAAGAATATGATGCATTTTTACACTTGCTTTACTTTGCTTTGCATTTCTTTTTTCACTTAAATTTTCAGTTATCAATTGTCAAGTATTAATCCAAATAAATAAATTCATGAATATGAAAATCGAATTAATTGAGATAAAGGATAGGAATGTATTATCATCAAATTATTTGGTTCGAAGACAGAATGCAGCAAATACCTAAACGCTGACAAAAAAAGGATGTGCATGTACAAACTTCACGTAATGATATCCTGGATTTTTGTCAAGTTATAATGCCGATCAGTATTGTTATAGATATATATCACAATAAATGTGAGGTGCAGAAAAAAAATTCATTGTGTCATTTACAACTAGTGTATTTAAAACAATTAAAGTTCAGTTCTAATAGTATTATTTTAGCCACTGTAATTCATATCCGGAAACTCAATACGTTTCGTTTTTATATCTTACGCACGCCCATGTTGGGGAGCAGTTCATGCAGAGACCTATATACTAATATTAGTATATAGGTCCCTGATTCACGTAATAATTAACTTTTTATAAAGTCATAAATTAATAGATAAATGATGACAAATGAAAACAAATTGAACCGTAATAACAACCATTAAGACTTAGCAATAAGAAAATTTTTAAAACTTTTATTCATAACTTTTATATATGTTATCAATAAGAAATTATTTCAAAGAAGCAATTAAAAAAAATAACGCCCCATTTCCCCATTGTGCACATTAAACACAACCACAAATAGATCGGCCGCTGCTGCGTCCGATAATGATATATTTCTCAACGTCCATATGGAGATAAATTATTTATTTTTTGATATATACCCGAATATTTTGAATGTTTTTGATATGGTCCCTATTGTTGATTGTTTCCGGTAAAAACCAAAATAAAACGTGACGTCACAGACTAGTCGCCATTTTCCTTGTACTTGGAAGTTTGTCGAACGTTTGTTGTAAATTTTCCAGTAAAATAGAGGTTTGCAACATATATTTTACCAGTTGATACAGGAAAACCTGTAATTTACCTTTATTTGCAACTGTTGACAAATCAGTGACGATGACTATTCTACCGAAAAAGAAACCAGGGACGTCGAAAACAGAATGTGAATCAACTGAACACCAGGGCGGACATGCATCTCATTCTCACCAACATCACCAAGCCACCACGGATGCCAGGCATGAAAAGGCTACTCGTTCTCGAAACTCCCCGACCCGCTGGGTTCCGTCGACAACGAGGGACGAGAAACTGGCCAGTCATGATCCAGGGGGAACCTTTGAAGGTCATGAAGGAGTTAATAATAAACGACGCCATCGTTCCTCCCCACACAGGACACATGCACGGAAACATCGCATGCACGCCTCGGCCACGGTCACCTCTCGTGACTACCAGGCTTCTACTGAGTATGAGGAGACCGGGTACAACAGTGGGGACGAGTATGTCCCTCCACAGCACCCTGACAACATTGAGGAGGTTTGTGTCTGGCTGTTTGTCAGTCTGTAATGTTACCCTTCCAAAAACGCTTCCCCAGAGAAAGGATTAAAAAATATATGATACTATGTGTCAGTCAAATGGTTGAGAAGATTAATTTTTATTTTATAGCATGTCACATATTTTCATTTCTCCTGGAAAATCCAAGTTATAAAATTAGATACATGTAATACAATGCAATGATTTTAATTACATAGATCTTATATAAAAAATTAATATGCAGACTTGACAAACACCTAAATGTGAGTCAATTAGAGTTGGACTTTAATTATATTAAATATGTGTAAAAATGTAATAATAATCATGTATAAGACATCATTTGATGACAGTGAAATCAACTGGAAACAGAAAGTAGTCATTGTCTATATTTTGATCAACTTAGATATGAATATTTTTATTTCAGCTGGAAGCTTGGTTTGAGAAGACACTGAAAGAAAAGAAAGGCTGGATTATAAAGAAGATGGGGGAAGATGGTGCCTGTCTATTTAGAGCTGTTGGTAGGTTAACACTGTAGATGTTGAGAATAGCTTATTGAATGATAAGATCAGCAGTTCATATCATAAACTTAAGTGGTTACATTAGTTTACTATTATGCATGAATAAGTGCCTTTAATTTAATAAGTTAATGTCTGCATTTTCTCACTCTGTCAGCTTCCAAAGTATTTGGTCACAATAAAACTTTCATCATTTTTTTTTGGGGGGGGGGGGGGGGTACAAACATTACAATCAAATAATAATTGAACCTAAAATATCTCAACATGTATTACGTCATGTACCACAGTATGTATTAAAGTACCTCAGTTTCTATTAAAATACCTCAGAATGTATTAAAATTGTACTTGAATGAGTGTAAGTGGTTAGGAGTATATATTTACATGATGTTTGTGTCATTATACTTCCTTCTTATAATTGACATGGACATCATGGTGAAAAAATATAGATCTATTCAAAGAAAGCTGTTATAAGTACTGTAGCATATTTCTGTGTGAAAAATTCCTCTTGCACAACATGTGTGTAAAGCAGAGGGGAAAGCACGAAGAAAAAATATGTTCACATAATGGAAATGGAAGGATGCCTACAGATTTCTATTATTCTAAATATGGATCTTTTTTTCATGCAGAAATAAAATTTATTGGAACAAATGGTTTCAAAAATTGTCATTTCTGAATCACTTCGAAGAAGAATGTCATAATTTTTTTTTTTTTAATTTTTAAGGCATTTTATTCAATAACTGTAACACCAGAATTTTTTTCCCCACAATGATACTATGTGTAAAATAATATCTGAATTCCTGCAAGCCTTTAAACATTCAAGTTTTTTTTTAAATGTGTAAGATTTGGAAATTTAGAGGAATGTTATCAAAATGTTATTTTTTTTATTCTCTGTAAATTCTTTGTTATGAAGTGCAGGAAAATCTTTCCACTATTTTCTTGAAGGTGTGCATCCATTTATATACAACACATTTAACACGTTTCTTGTTTCAGTGAGTATTACATGTCACTTTGTATTGATTTGTATAATTGTTTAACTTTTTGAATTGTTTTCAGCTGACCAAGTATATGGTGACCAGGAAATGCACTCAGTTGTTAGAAAACATTGTGTTGACTACATGGTAAGTACAGAGGGCCCTAAAGAAAATGTTATAACAGTGTTATTGTCACACAGTTGTTAGAAAGCATTGTGTTGACTACATTGTATGTATAAAAAGAATCATGTGGCCCGGAGTGTTTGGGGTAGATCTGCATGGGGTTCATGGGGTTCTGTGTCTTTTGTTGAGCATTGACGCTGCAGACAACAAATGTTTTCTTAAAACATTCTTTTTATTTTATCATGTAAATTGGTTTTTGCTTTTTCATCTAAAAATACAATGTAGATGTGAATCTATGTCAGGGAGATGACCTGTACAATATTTTCTCAATGAATTCTTAACTCTAGTTTTATAATTATCATGGCCAAAGATAAGTAATATAATTATAAGAATATTGACTTCTTTGATTTTAAGTAATATGATCAATCTGTTTTGTTAAACTGTTTTTTGGTAATGGTTTAAGAGCCATCAGTGTATATTTCATGTATTTGAAAGAAATCATCAACTAATTTACATTTTCTTTTTATTGTTTTTAGCTGAAAAACTGTGACTACTATTCTCAGTATGTAACGGAGGATTTTACCACATACATAAATCGTAAAAAGATGGACAATTGCCATGGAAACCATGTGGAGATGCAGGCAATGAGCGAGATGTTTAATCGCCAAATTGAAGTATACCAGTACAGTATAGGTCTGTTCACAGAAAGAAAGTGCTGTGTTATTTTTGTAACCTTTTTTGTAACCTTTTTGTTGGAGGTGACAAATTTTGTAATTAAGTGTCAAGATTTTAGTGTTTGTACATGTATTACATCTCATGTTTCCTTCCAGCCTCAATTGCTGTACTTTGTAGAGTTTGCTGAACAATACATCCTTTTGAATTTAGTAAATTTTCTGATTTGTAGATCCCATTAATACATTCAATTGTCCTTATAAGACTGAAAATGAACCCATTAGAATCAGTTACCATGGAAATGTCCATTACAATTCAGTGGTGGATCCATGTAAGGCAACCATTGGTGTGGGACTTGGACTGCCTGGCCTTCAACCAGGGGTAAAGACTTCAGATCTAGTTTATACATTGCAGACATTTTTACTGACAACAAAGTATCACTTATTCAAAAACACAGACATTTAGATAGCTTTAATCTGACAAAATGGGGTAATCAGGGTTCGACATTAACGCTTGTCCGCTGGTCCGGTACCAGTGAAAAAAAAATTACGGACAAGTGAATATTTTGTTGGGCACTTGTGTGATTGGATAAGTGCATTTTAATGTAAAGATGTCTTCAAATAATAAAAAGAACGAACTATTGAAAGTTCATTGGTAAAGACGGAAGCAGTACATAAAAAAACAAACTTTGATCCCGATATGGATCGCTATGTAATTGAGTTCACACTCGATCGGGATCAAAGTTCACTAATTGCATACTACTGCAAAGGCATGAAAGTTAGATCTGGTTACGAAGTTTAGATTCTGTTTGATGTTTGTGAGCATTTATGATGTTGTCAGGATAGAAAGTCTAGATAAAAGTTTGTTTTTATGTGTTTGTTGTATTTATCAATAACATCACAAATCAATCACATGTAATGGACTTTATTTTAGTTTTCAAGTTGACAGTATTGTATTTTTATTGAACAATTTTCGGACAAGTGAAGTTGAAGTTCAGACAAGTAAATGTCTTGGTCACTTGTCCAATTGGACAAGTAGGGAAAAAAGTTAATGTCGAGCCCTGGTAATTAAAAATATAAAGGTGTGGATCAAACTTCTCACATAGGGTATCCAATTTTGCCAGTGAAATACTAATAAATGGTTTAAAATTATACTATCTATTTGTTTTGAACTTGTACTTTTTCTAATCTGTATGGATAACTTTGTTTACAAGTAATTTTGTTATGTTTTTGTTTTTTGTTTTGTTTATCAGCTCGCAGACAAAAGTCAGATGAGGGACGCTGTCCGGCAGTCAGAGGATGTCCATATCGAGCAGGTAGGTCAAAAGTTCAGGTCATAGACATAACATTTTACACATACAGTCAATCTTCATCGTCTCAAACTCAACATGGCTGAGAAAAAACTTCAAAATATCAGGAGATTCGAGGTTTCAAGGTTAAAATATAATAAAAAGTGTTGGGATTTGCAACTCACTTCAGCATATCCATAGTATTTGAGATATCAATGTTTGAGATACCTAAGTTCACCTGTGACTAATATTCAGTTATACTGTCAGAACTTAAGGTATAAAATTTTTACCTATGGGTAGATTCAGGTTTTAGATGTATTTGCAAAATATAAAACTGTGCATGACCACGGTGAACAATTTTTACAGACTATGCTGGAAGATAAGCTTAGAGAGACCGACTGGGAAGTCACTCAGGAGACAATAGAGGAACAAGTTGCTCGTGAGTCGTATCTACAGTGGCTCAGAGATAACGAAAACCAAGTCCGTAGGAAAAGCTCAGTAAGTAACAAGTCATACCTAGAGGGGCTCAGAGATAACGAAAACCAAGTCATAGGAAAATCTCAGTAAGTAACAAGTCATACCTAGAGGGGCTCAGAGATAACGAAAACCAAGTCTGTAGGAAAAGGTCAGTAAGTAAAAGTCATACCTAGAGGGGCTCAGAGATATCGAAAACCAAGTCCGTAGGAAAAGCTCAGTAAGTAACAAGTCGTACACAGTCTTCGCCAAATCAGTACATGCCCTTTGGGTAGGTTTAACCACTTATTACGCTAGCCCGAACAAATATTTACATGCCCAGAATTTTATCAAGTAATTTTATTCTTATTTGCCTTTTCATGCCAAGGAAATGATCCAAAATCCATTTCTATAGATCTATTGTCTCACCATTAATATTGTTTTCAACCTGTACACCTTTTGTGTCTCCTTTGCAAAAGAGTTCCTTGTGTAACCAAGCGGAGATGGAAAACGCAGGTTCAGTTTATAAATTTATTAGGAAAAGAAAAAAGCAATGGCAGATCTACAAATACAAAAAAAACATATATACAATATCATAATACACACAGACTCTGAGACAAAATACTTTTATTTCCTATTCACTTCAAAAATAAGAAAATTTAAGTGTACTAAGCCCAAAACGTCATTTTCATAGTTTAAAATACCCTTCTTTCAAAAATATGAAAAATACTTGAGCTTATAACTTGGACTTAATAAATAAAATACAAAAATTTAATAGATTAAGAAAATTACCTTTCAAGTGGTGACAACGGGCAGCTGGTAATAGGTAAATTAAATTTCCCGCACTGACAGGGATGGGCCCATGCCTCAGTATATATAGCAGAAAAACCGGTTAAACAAGGGGGTACAAATTTACTGGCCAATGAGATTTTGTGAGTAGAATTCATGAATGGAGACTACTACCAAATATGGCATAAAGTAAATTATGGCTCAGTAAGTTATTCAATAAAGATAAAAAATTATTTTAAATAAATATGACTCTGCCACACTTGGAAGTCACGTATTGTTTTCAATGTGTATACTTTTTGTGTCTCCTTTGCAAAAGAGTTCTGTGGAAAATGCGGTAGAATAAACTATCGTTAATATTTTATTTGGTGCTCCACTTTAGATGAAAAATCAGACTTTTAAGTACATTTAATGTTATTGGTATTATTTAAGTTGATAATACGGAGGCTTAGGCCTCAGAATTTACATGCCCTTCGGGCTTGTAAGTATGCAAGTTCCACATGCCCGCTTCCAATTTTACCAGGTCCCGGGCTTCGGACTCCCGGGATTTGTTGAAGACTGCAAACCTAGAGAGGCTCAGAGATAACGAAAACCAAGTCCGTAGGAAAAGCTCAGTAAGTAACAAGTCATACCTAGAGGGGCTCAGAGATAACGAAAACCAAGTCCATAGGAAAAGCTCAGTAAGTAACAAGTCATACCTAGAGGGGCTCAGAGATAACGAAAACCAAGTCCGTAGGAAAAGCTCAGTAAGTAACAAGTCATACCTAGAGGGGCTCAGAGATAACGAAAACCAAGTCTGTAGGAAAAGCTCAGTAAGTAAAAGTCATACCTAGAGGGGCTCAGAGATATCGAAAACCAAGTCCGTAGGAAAAGCTCAGTAAGTAACAAGTCATACCTAGAGGGGCTCAGAGATATCGAAAACCAAGTCCGTAGGAAAAGCTCAGTAAGTAAAAGTCATACCTAGAGGGGCTCAGAGATAATGAAAACCAAGTCCATAGGAAAAGCTTGGTTAGATATGAGTCATACTTACGGCGGCCCAAAGCGAATACCAAGTCCGCAGGAAAAGCTCAGTAAGTAACAAGTCATGCCTGAAGGGGCTCAGAAATAACCAAAACCAAAATTGCAATAAAAGCTTACTCAGTAGTTAGATATGAGTCGTACCTACAGGGACTCAAAGCGAATACCAAGTCCGTAGGAAGAGTGGGGTAAGTAACAAGTTCTACCAACAGTTTCTCAAAGTTATTGAGAACCCAGTCCTCAGGAAGATTTTTGTTTCCAGATCCAGGATGTTTGAACAAATCTTCAGTCAGGTAAGTTTTATATCATATCTTCATTGCGAGTTCAGTAAGTAACTAGTCAGAAGTGCAGTAGCTCATGATGATGAAGATCAAGTCTACAGGGAGACTTTGGTAAGTAGCAAATCACCTTGGAGATGGTGAGAGGTAAGTTTGCTAAGTGATAATAACAGTGAAACAAGTTAGACAAAGTTTTCAGAACTAAGTGAGTTGTGGTCTACACTAACTTACAGAGAAATAAAAGAGATCTGAGCTAGTACCCCAGTAATATAATCAGAATTCAATGCCATTGGGTTAAATAAGTAGCTCACAAATGACACACTGGTTGATCCAAAAGTAGCTATAAAGTCTTTAATCTTGTGAGATCATCAACAAATTCAATATACAATATAGATTTTAAGTTTTATTTCATGATAATTATTTGAAATTCAATTCCATATCACCAGTTTTAGTTCAATTTATGTCAGTACTTTTGTGTAACATCACCAGTTTTAGTTGTATGTCAGTACTTTTGTGTAACATCACCAGCTTTAGTTCAGTTGCATGTCAGTACTTTTGTGTAACATCACCAGTTTTAGTTGTATGTCAGTACTTTTGTGTAACATCACCAGCTTTAGTTCAGTTGCATGTCAGTACTTTTGTGTAACATCACCAGTTTTACTTTTAGTTGAGTTGTATGTCAGTACTTTTGTGTAGCATCAGATTCAAGAGTAAATGACTTTCATCTTCCACTCACTAAATGTGTCTCCATTTTACCCCACCTCTAATGATTTTTTGATGAAATCCTGGCTTACAATTGGTTGACATCTGTCACATGAAGGGGGTGTAATACATGTAATTCACTTAATGAATTAATTCACTTAAAAATCAATACACAGTCAATACGGAGTTATTGTTCTTTTGTAACAATTCCAGTTAATGTTTTTTTAAGTGACAGTGTCCATTGAAATTAAAAAGTTAAGTTGACGAGCACACATTATTGAACCTTTTTCTCCCTTGACTAAAATTCTTCGAACTGTCTGTACATTATTTCTGCATGAAAGGCTCGCAAAACAGCATTACATAGAGCAGGGTGACGTCATAATAGGCACTCTACAGGAGTGATGAAACATATAGCGGGGAGAAATAATTTTACAAACCATGGACACCTGAATGTAATGTTATTGGTGGGGTAAATTCGTTACATAGTTTTAAGAATGCTGTAACATTGGATGTTTTTCCTTATGTAACTCAGACCTGTACTCCTGTGATCCTATTCACAGCTTTTCTTAATCTGTTTATTATGTACAATCATGTAGAAGTTAAATCTTTTCTTATAGCCTCGGTCAGCCAGCGCCACCTGTAGTTCCTCCAAGGACAAAGATTTAGGATCCCCCGAACTCCTGCAGCAGGGGAGATCCCCCAGGAACAGGAGTAACCCAGGGTCAGGAGGGAACAGCCCCCAAAGACTGGACACGATGAGGAGTGGCCCCAGCAGTCCCCAGCAGACAGAGGCAGCTCAGCATTCACCTTTACCTACGTGTTCTGGATATAACCCTGCTAACATAGCTAATGGTGAGTACAACCCTGCTACCATAGCTAATGGTGAGCACTGCATTCTGGTTAAAATCCTGCTAGCATGGCTAATGGTGAGTATTGTGTTATGTGAATACACTATTTTATACACTGTCAGCTAGAATAGAGAGGTTATATCAAATTTCTAGTATGACATGTAAAACCTGTTGATGTGAAGTGGTTTTCATGCAGGTAATTCATTAAAAAGATGATGTAAAAGTTTGAGAGTGTTTGTCCATGAGCTTTTGACTGCTTATAAGTATAATGAATGAAGATATTATTGTGACTCACTTAATTAGTCATGTGAGGATTGAATTTTAATTGCTATTTATTAGTAATTACAAGTGAAAGAAAAGTTTGTGGAAATTTTGCCTTTAATTTCTGAGCAAAAATAATTTTGTTTTGAGAAGAAAAAAATGATAATTTGTGGAATGTTACATTTAATATCAACAATAATAATGTTAATCTATATGTCAAGTAATACACATCAAACACTCCTTTCCAGATGCCTTTAGCAGCAGCCTTGGGGCCACAGGAGGGGCCCAGGATCTTACAACAACCAACTTTGTAGAAACCTCTTCCTTAATGAACTGCTACAATTCCGATATGTATGGTATGGTCATGTTCAATATTGCTTTATCTTTCTAAGGATCTCTCTCAAATTTTACCTGTATATACACAGTGTACATGAATGATTTACATATTTTTTCATTCTTTTTTATTTTGACTATTAAATGTTATTCTCACTCAATATGATATTTAACTTTCTGCAGTATATGTTTATTTTTTACCAGATCTTTGTGTATATATATATATATATCGTAATTTTCCCCAGCAGATTAGAGATCTCTAAAATCTGTTTTAAACAGCTCATTCTGATTGGATTATATTTTGATAGCTTACACCAGGTCTTCTAATTGTTCTGATTGGATGATATTTTAATGTTTTTTCCCCAGGTCTTCTAATTGTTCTTATTGGATGATATTTTTTGTGTTTTTCCCAGGTCTTTCAGATTGGATAGATGAGGATGACATCATGGCACAGGTGATAGCCCAGTCCCAGAAAGAATACCTGGACAGCCTGAAAAAGTCAGCCTCCTCTCCCCCCGACCCCTCCCCTCACAGCTAACACAGGGCTGACCTAATTCTTTGTTTTAATTCTACACATTCATCATAGAGGCTTATTTACATGTATTGCTTCTAGAGACATTTGAATCACTTAAAGCCCAGCTGGTCCCAATCCTATATCATTTGACTTTGCAATTTTTTCAATAGCTAATATGATTATATGGACATTTTATGATATGGTTTACTTCAGATTTTTCTTTTATTGAGACTGCGAGTCAGTTTTTTGTGATGTAACGCAAATAAAGATCAAAGAAACTAACTGTAACATAACCATTATGAGCTGATTTATTGTGTTAATATTATAAACATGTAATTATATAAAATAGTGGGTGTACATTGTATTTTGAAAGTTTTATTATTTTAAATTTCCTTGTTTTGAAATATAATTTGTTATTGTTTAAGCTGGAATCATTCTACTCCTTAAAATCTTTATTGACCATTTACTGAATATAAGCAGCTTATACGGAGATTCTGAAGAGGATTATTTTCAATTTTCATAAAAATATTTCCTACTAAAAAAAAGTTGCTTCTTAAAAGAAGTTATAATATATATATATATGTTTTTTATTACTGCAGGAAACCTGATGAAGGAAAATTAAGAGAAATATTTTATGGTAACCTTTTGTGAATGTCAGTGATTTGCACACACGGGTGTGAATAAGTTAATACACCAAATTATTCCATATTATTGTGAGAAGAATTTAGTTGAGATAACTATTCATCATCTCCATTATCTTAGATTTTTGTATTTGACCTACACCATTATAATTTTTCATTTTTACTGTGTTTGAATTCAACTGTACTTGCTTAGTTGACACGTAACTCATTATAATTGGTGAGTTATATCATAAGTGAAGTATATGCCACAATAATTTTACTGAAGAAGTGTTGTGCTAGTGACTTATGTCTAAGGAAGACCGAGATGTGTAATAATTCCTACATTAATCTGTGATCAGGATTTTCTGCCATGCAAAAACATTGGGAGATTGGAAGGATGGAATTTTTGATAGACCTGAACAATTTTCCTGAATCAGTTTTAGATGTGTATGTGTGTGAGACAGAGTCCAGTATGTGGAATTTTTTTATTTCCCCCACCCACCCCCGGGTAACGTGAGTGTTCAGAAGTAGTGTATGTTTTATTCCCCTTCATAGTTATGAATCTTTTTTTTTGTCAGTATAATTTTGTTAAAAGAGTGCTATATTTTATTTTGTTTCTACAAAGGCATTGTATCAGGTTCTGAATGCTTATGTAATTTTAGAATATTGTATGCCATTTTTTTTTTCTTGAAACAGAAAATACTCCACTGGCTGATGGATGAAGAATATTTGTGAATAGATATAGAATATAAATATCAAATTAGGGAATTATTTCTTTACTTTGTTCCTGTGATTACAATGCCTTTAAGCATATATTATGAAGAATATTAAATTATTTGTCATGTATAAATTCTAAAGTGTTTTTTTTTAATAATCCTGAATTGATGGAAGACTAGCTGACCTTTTATTAAAACAGAGTTGAAAGAAATTCCTTTCGCAAACAAAATTGGGATTGGGGGGGGGGGGGGGGGGGTCATGTAGAAATCACTTTTCCATCTGAGTAGCTGTGTGTCTATGCACTGATGTCTGGGCTATAACTATGTAATGGAGAATCACTGGAAGCTCAAACTTTGTACAGAGATTGTTTATGAGTTTATGACCCAAGGGTGTGGGATGACCTAGATGCAAGGTCATTCCAGCAAGTTCAAGGTCACTGACAGAAAAAGTATAAAATTCTTGTCTGAGCAATGACTGTAATGGGGAATCATTGGGAGCTCATAAGGTATAAAAATTATTTATGACCCAAGGGTGATTCTTGACCTTGTCTCAAAGTTTAAGGTCATTAGCAGAAAAAGTATTGAAAAACTTGTCCAGGTTTACTTGCGTAATGGAGGATCGTTGGAAGATTATACAGTGAACTTTGGTATCTTGAACACCGTTTTCTTGAATATCATAGATATGTCAGTGATTTAGAAGTCCCAACCACTTTTTCTTTAAGTATTTTATCCTTGATATCTTGAATCCTCAGATATCTTTCGTTTTTCCTCAGCCCCATCGAGTTTGAAAAACTGTACTTGGTACAAAGATTGTTTAAGTGTAGATCATGAAATTCTATTGACACCTGATTTTCGCGAGATAAGCATTTGGTATTTTTACGTGAGATATATTTTCACAAACGTTGCTTATTGTTCTGTATAATCTTTAGTACTACAAACAAATGTGAGAATTAATATTTTGTGAGCAGGCAGTCTCTTGTAATTAGGCAAAAATAAAGTTCTCATGAATGAAAAGAAAATTACGGTACTCAGTACTTGACATCACTTTAGTTTGTTGAAAATGAATAGCCTTCAACTCAAGTGAGCTAAAATATTTACACAACGTTGCCAGTCATTTTCTCAAAGCTTTACAGGAATTTTTCCTTTTGACACTTCATTAGAAACATTTCATGCTATATATAAACCAGTTGTTACTTAATATTCTCAACTCTTTGGTCATATCTGGCTGGTAAGTCAAATTCGTGATCTTCAGCACAATGAAGCCAACAGAGAGAATATGACAAAAAAATTAATGAACCATATACAGTTAAACCTTGTTATTTTGAACTCAATGGGACTGAAAAATCTTTGAGATATCTGAGTACTCGAGATATCAAGTTTAAAATTACGCAAAAGTGATTGAGACTTCTATAGTCTATATGTCACTTCAACTTATCCATGGTACAGTGTATTTGAGAACTCAGTGTTTGAGATACTTAAGTTTAACTATATTTTATAGTTCTGGTGAAAAAGAGGGCAAATAAATTCATCTGAGGTGTAATAATCTTGAAATCATTCATAGAAAAAAAGGCAAAAATGTAGGGATAAATTTTAATTGGAAATTTACAACCCCAGTAAAAATTCCACATGCAAAATTGCATGTAGTGAAAGACACAACAATCCATTGAAAGTATCTTAACAAAAAATATAGTATTACATATTTTATAAAACACTTTGAGTGTATGTATGTCATTCTATAAGTCTTTATACACACTGTACAGTAAACTAAAAATAACAGAGAAACTCTCATCTTTTTCACACAAATCACACAAACTTTAAAACACAGTTTACTTGGCATTCAGAGTCTGGTAAATTCTTGAGGCCTGGTGTTTGATGTCTTCGTTTTTATGCTGACACAAAAGGAAGACCTTAGACTTAATGTGTCCAATGTTGTTCATGCCATACAGAGCCGAGTACATGGTCTCGGGGCTGGGGGCCTTGTCGTCGGGGGGTAGGGAGGAGGCAGACAGGTGGAACTCCTTCACTGTGTGAAGGATGTTGGCCAAAAACGTGGTCCACCGGAGAACCAGAGCCTCATCTGCCGTGGTTCTCAACAGGTCAAGTACACATGATGGTGCCTGAAATATATGACTTATTTTTAAACAATTAATTCTTCCTTTACTTTTTTTATGTGGGAGATATATGGGAATTAATATTATAACATCAAAGAACCTGCACTAGGTTTAAATCTTTATGCCCTGCCATGAATATGACAATCATATATTAGTAATTGTCATATCTATCTTCTACAAGGTTTAATTCTTTATGCCCCGCCATGAATATAGCCGGGGCATAGTGTTTGTCATATCTATCTTCTGTCCTCCCATCTGTTACAGTACTTCCTTCACACTTTGCATTTAGCTCAAAGAAACTGTTCAAGATATTTTTATCAAACTTCCTAAATGTATGTCGATACATATAAGCAAGAGTTATTCAACTGCATCACCTTTTTTCACCTAGACCTTCCTTATGACCTTGACCTCTCTTAAATTTGTGTTAAGCTCAATTTTAAAGAAACTATTCAAAATATTTTTTTTATCAGACTTCATATGCTGATACATATTGGTGATAGCTTTTCATCTGCATCAACATCAACTTTTTTTAACCCTTATCTTCTTCCCTATGACCTTACTATCTTGTGTTTTGCATTTTGCATGGTTTCAAAGAAATTATTCAAGATATTTTTATCTTAACACATACTGATATATTGGTGAGAACCATTTAACTGTTTCCAAAATATAAACTTGACCTTACATTTCTGTAATGTTTATGAACATTCTACTTATATATATTTATTTGCCTAAATTATTTATTACAGAGTAAGAGTTATCTTTCTTAATCAAATAGTTATCTGTTCTATAATTTCAAGAGTTATCTTTTTATTTGTAAATCCGGAGTTACTTTTTCTAAATTCCTCACTTCCTGTGTTAATTATCGGCAACAGGAGCAGCCGATCTATTAGTAGTTGACATGACTTGTGACGTGCAGGATATCTTGTATAGTTTGTGCATTTTCGTTTGCATTATTCAGGTAAGAATGCCAGATTGGTGGACTATACAACTAATTTATACCAAAATTACTTTAAAAATACTTTAATTCAATGTAAGACAGACTACTGAGCATCACTAATGTTAAGATGTAGCCGTGGAACTAATTTTAGAATCGTATACAGAAGCTCAAATCTGATTAGCCAAATTTTCATATTTATTCATAATCGAAAGGTCGCTCTGACGTGACCCCCAGTGGGATGTTGTTAGATGATTGAGAAGCGGTAGTGGATTCGGAACATCTAATTTTAATTAGAGACTTCTTTATGACCTTACGACTTTGCTATTTATTATTACAGTAGCAGTACAGTCAAATAATTAGCTTGAAAATGTGCAGCTAAACTGCAGCAAAAAGAACCATTACCTTAGCAGCCAGCATGTGTGGTACGAGTTCAGAGTTACAGGACAGGTTGACGAGGATCTTGGCTGCCTGTAGACGGATTCCTGCACTATTATCATCCAAGAAGTCGTAGAGTTTCTGAATGATTCGGGTGTAGTGGTTGTGGTGGTGGTCCATCACTGAGAGGTTAGTGAGGGCTTGAAGCGAGGACAGGCGCACTGATTCCCCTGTCTCCTCCTCCAGTGCTATGTCAACCAGCATCGGTACGCAGTCCTACAGAGATAAAAAAGTTACATCATGAATGTTCATCTAGAACCATAATGTTAGTAATTAAAAGGGTCCATATTTAGTGAAAAAATTAATTCAGGAGAGACAATTTCGTTTTTCATTTTAGCCTTTAGGGTTGAGGAATCATTTCTATTTGATTGAAAAATGCCATTCTAATGCTGCCGTTACTATCCATGGACTATGTGTTTTGTTTCCCTTTGCAGGCAACTGCATGAACTATATTATCATAAATAATACTAATATATGCAAATAAAAAGCTAACCACTCTTAGATTTATTTATATTATTAAATGATGCTGTAACAGGCGATACATGAGTTTCTTAACTGGAACACACTCATATTCATTTTTTGAATTTTTTCATGCTTTTTTTTTCTTTCCTCAGCTAGCACCTAGCCCTGGGATAAAAAATTCAAAGTTCAAATTTGTTCCACTTTTTCCAGAGATGCTTTATACCAAGACTGGCTGAAACTGATTCTGCCATTGCAAGGAAAAAGCTGAAAATGTTCAAAATCTTACAAACCATACACAACAATGAACAGAAACAAATCTATAGCATTTGTGACCCAGAAATAATTTCTTCATATACACATACATATAATAGAAGTTGTAAACCTTACCCTTGTTTAGATATGACCACACATTTTCTCCCTAAGATTCCCTCATCAATAATTAACACTCTGTGTATTGAACAGAACACTGTATTGAACTTCTGCATGCTACATATATACAAAAATCATTTCTTTGCGATGGTTGTTATTTAGTTTTTCTGTACATTAGCCTGAAGCTATCAACACAATCTGTAAATGCTAGTTTTCCTTCTTAGTATTTATTTGCCTACAGAATCTTTCACTGCAATCACTACTACACATCATGCACAATTTGCCATAGGAGTGATCTAATAATGAATTAAGCAATAAACACAACAATGAAGAATTCATAACACAAACAATAATATGACGTGTATTATGAAGTTCCTGACAGTAAAACAAAGAAATAACCTCGTTAAGGAGGGATAACAATAATATGACATGTATTATGAAGTTCCTGACAGTAAAACAAAGAAATAACCTTGTTAAGGAGGGATAACAATAATATGACGTGTATTATGAAGTTCCTGACAGTAAAACAAAGAAATAACCTCGTTAAGGAGGGATAACAATAATATGACATGTATTATGAAGTGCCTGACAGTAAAACAAAGAAATAACCTCGTTAAGGAGGGATAACAATAATATGACGTGTATTATGAAGTTCCTGACAGTAAAACAAAGAAATAACCTCGTAAAACATACTTAAGGGGGGATAACAAGGTAATGGGTTTGATAAGTGAAGAATAACATTAGAACCTTAACTGAATCAGATTGATAAGTTAAATATATATATACATATATATATATATATTTATATATATATATATATATATATATATATATATATATATATATATATATATATATATATATATATATATATATAATATTTGCGGTATAACTGTTTAATCAAAGTACTAAGAGTACAAAGTAAAGGTTACAGCCCCATATTTTTTTTTTTTGAAAATTGCTTAAAAGAATACCTATCAAATATGACTTCAGTAACTTATTTATTTAAACTAATGTTTGTTTTGATCAAAATGAAGATAGTTATTTAATAGTAAATGGATCTAAAACTTTATGATGAAATTTACCTTTCTTTCATGGTCAACTTTGGTTATCCAAAGTCACAGTATATGCAATTTTTCGATGGTCTGAATTTCAAGTTTAGGAGAGCTATTTAAATCAGCTGTGAGAAATGCTTTTTGTAGAAGTAGTGAAAGAGTATGTTGTGAATACATGGTTAGTATACATAGCTAAAAACCCCAGGCACAGATCCAGGAATTTACTTTCTCTGCAAATTCCAGGGGTGGCTCCGGACCCCTCCCGCCTCCTCTAGATCTGTGTATGAATCCAGAGATGTAACTTCTTAAGGAATGTTTTTAAGTTTTGTGTGAATTAAAAGTAGCAATAATATACTCAATATTTGAATTTCTTGCTGCCCTATATTGTTACATTTTTATTAACGTCTCTGTAGCCTCATTGTGACGTCACTTTAGCACGAGTTTCACCCTGTATATTTCTATGCGTGAGTATACACAAAAATGACTTTCAAATCAATTTCACAGTTGGCTTAGTAGAAAAACACAGCAAATGTAAATATCAAAAATTGTGCAGATCAAATTAGTAATACAAACAAGAGGCCCATGGGCCACAACGCTCACCTGAGTAATTTTGGCCTTGCTGTTTTTCACCTGATTCCCCCCCCCCTTGTAGTACCCCGCCCTACCCCCACTGGGGTCATGACTTGAACATTTAGAATCTACACTACCCCAGAATGCTTCCACATAAGTTTCAGCTTTTCCAGCCCAGTGGTTCTTGAGAGGAAGATTTTTAGATTTCCTATTGTGGCCCCGCCCTACCCCCGGGTCATGATTTGAACAATTTAGAATCTACACTACCCCAGGATGCTTCCACATAAGTTTCAGCTTTTCCAGCCCAGTGGTTCTTGAGAGGAAGATTTTCAAAGATTTTTACTACATATTTCAATATAAAACTTGGATTTCCTATTGTGGTCCCGCCCTACTCCCCGGAGTCATGATTTTAACAATTTAGAATCTACACTACCCCAGGATGCTTCCACATAAGTTTCAGCCTTTCTGGCCCAGTGGTTCTTGAGAAGAAGATTTTTTTAATGACCCCACCCAATTTTCGTCTTTTCTTGATTATCTCCCCTTTGAAGGGGGCTTGGCCCTTCATTTTAATAATTTAAACTCCCCTTCACCCAAAAATGCTTTGTACCAAGTTTTGTTAAAATTGGCCCAGTGGTTCTTGAGAAGAAGTTGAAAATATGAAAAGTTTACAGACGGACGGACGACGAACAATGGGTGATCAGAAAAGCTCACTTGAGCTTTCAGCTAAGGTGAGCTAATAAAAACAACAGTCAGTTGATGTGACTCTGTACCTCAAACTGTTTATGATTTTCTTCATTGGAGGAGAGATTGTTGATGGCAGTAGCCAGCAGATTCATGAACCTCTCTGACATATTGTTAGGTTTCTTCTTGGATTTTTCTGGATCCTCCTCACCGGCTGATGCATTCTGGGACATGTTCTCGAGATTCTGTACTTGTTGTCGCAACAACTGACTCAGCTGGGATAAACAACCATGTTCTCTTAAGAGATTCTGAAAAGAAAATGAAGGAAAGTGAAGTAAAACTATTGTGCAGTGATTTACAATATAATACGAAATAAGGGAAGTATGCTGTTCAGACCTGCAAAATTTTTTACTTGTGAAACAGATTTCTAAATCAAATGAGTTATAATTACAGCAACATTTGTAAGAGGGCAACAGAGCTCACCTGGTCATGTCACCTTAAGCTTGGGGGCTGTATCACAAATATCAAAATAGACTTCAAAGGCATCAAAACCTGGTAACACTGAACATGCTTGAAGTTTTCATTCAGGGTGCCCATTGAAAGTGAGCTGGGAAAGGGATGTGTCCTTAGTGGAACAATTTGTAATGAAAGATAGCCGAGTCACAATTAGAGAAATGGTTGAATATCTTAACAATAAAACAGCTCTTAATCCCCTAAAATTTCAGTTACTTTAGAATGTTAACAGATCAGATATGATAAAGAGAAGCACTTATACTTGATCCACATTTTGGATTCATGACACACCCATGACAGAGGAGTTGTGATGAACAACATTCTTGTACTGGGAAAAGAAATCCTAATCCACTCATCCTATTGCCAAGATTTGGCAATTTGTGAGGCTATTCTTGTTATAAAAAATAACATGAGGTAAAAAAAATAATATAAGACTCAGGAAAATCTGTAGGCTATTGTGAATTCAGTACTTCACAGAGCATATCACGTGACTGCCTGTGTTTCATGCATGGGCAGAACTGTGGCATATGTGAGGCCTAGTTCAAAAATGAATAAACATAGCAACCCAATTTGGTTTCTTTTATGGAAGTTATTCAATTACTGTGCAAACTTTTTGATCATCCCTCATATACAGTCAAATCTCGTTACTTTGAAATCAACGGAACTGAGACTAAACTTCGGGATATTTGAGGATTTGTGATAATGAGGCTAAAAGCATAAAGAAAAGTGGTTGGAACTGCCAAAGCACTTCAACATATACCTTGTATTAGAAATATCAGTTTTCTTAAAGCACAGTTCAACTGTATTCTACAGCATCAAAATATCAACTGCCTTTTTTTACTTAAATTAAATAAAATTGCAACTATAACCACAACCACCACCACCACCCTTCCCCGTTACTATGGCTTATCCCAGCTCATTGTGTCATGATTTGAACAAATTTTAATTTACCCTTAATCAGGAAGATTAATGCCTTAAATACATTGCATTTTTCTGGCCTTCTAGTTTTGGAGGATTTTTTTTTTGTATGGCCCACCCTTATTTTACTTCATTATTTCCATTTTAAAGGAAGCATTAGCTTTTCTTGAACATCCAAACCAATTTTTTAAGAAAGATGCAGCTATGGGAGAAGTTTGGTTTAAACTGGCTCTGTATGTCTGGAGAAGCCCAAAATCTGAAAAGTTCACAGCAAAGAACAGGCACTCAATCAAACTCTGACTATTTGCGCTTAATTCAGCTCAGGTAAGCAAATTATTCATGATATGCAGAAATCTTAACAGTACCATTTATGAATTTCTCATGTATTGCTAAATGATTCAGAATAAAAAAATATTAAAAAATTTAAAAATTTTAAAAGTTTTTCTTGTTTTATCAAGGGCTTTTTTTTTTCACCAGAAGATAAGGCCTAAATTTAATTCTAGTAACGTTATTAAAAGAAAAACAGAAAATAATAGCAGATTGAAAACATTATAATTGACTAGAAAATAAAACAAAAACCATTGCATTTCTCAAGTGTAAATAAGAAAAGTCTGAATACCTTATGTTAATCTAAAATCTCCGACACAATCTTACAAAATTATTCAACACCTTTTAAGTGATTAACACCACACTCCAGTAAAAACAGATCCCAGTGGCAATACGGCCAGAGAGAACAATCCAGGATAAATAATAGATCAGTTCTACCTTCTTCTTCTACCAATAACAGGCAGGTATTGATTGGACGATCAGCCCCCAGGTACTACCTAACCGACTGTCAGGGTAGTTTTACCTGTACATGTACTCAGAGCTGCACCCCACTATATAGGCTGCTGACAACACTTAGAGTCCACTGAAAACCCATGGCTAGCAAAGATGACAACACATATGCAAAAGAAAGTTGCCAAAATTAGTAGTTGTCACTAAATTCTACAAGATGGACTGACTTAAGTAAATGTTAGAAATTCAAAGTTTTCATCAAAAAATATACTGCCTTAATTCTTACTTCTATATACAAGTGTAAAAGGTAAGGAGAAAATGCAATGGAACAGATGAGGATTTGAACATGCGCCCCCTGAATCCACTAGTCTGGTGTTCTATCGACTGATCAATCTATCTGCCCCCACGATAGAACCTACCTGACCATCACATTTGTTAAACTGTCTTAATAGTTTACATTTCCTCAATACTTTGATTAACGAGCTAATTTACCATGTGAATTTATATTCTCTATTTAAACCATCTTCCTCTTTTGATGATGTGACCTTTGAGCAATTATCATAAACATCTTAAAAATCGACAGCAAATACATTCTAAAAATTTTTAATTAATATTTCTACCTTTGTCCTGAGAGCAGATAAATTTGTCCTGAGACCAAACTGTTACAGAGAAACAGATCCTGTCAAACTTATATTGACATAACATGACAAAGGAAAGAGTTTAACATGTTAAACGATCGAGAAGGTTCAAATCTAAAACATAATATATATAATTATATACTCTGCATCTGCAGAACTATGGACAAAATCGAGTCAATAAAGACTTGACCTGTCTCTCAGACAGATGGTAGCCAGCCATCTACAAAACTAGATAGAAAAATGACAGTCTAACAATAAAGACTTGACCTGTCTTCTAGACAGATGGTAGCCAGTCAAGTCATTCACTTGTTGGGGTTTTGTTTCTAAAGAAGACAGTCTTCTCTACAATCAATGTGCAGTGAACAAACATTGTAAATCAATACTGCACCACAACTTGTGACAATAAATCAATAAGAGCCCCACTCTTGCCTGTTGTTCTTCAAATTTTAAAATCTGATCAGGGTCTTTTTTTATCAGATAAATACACAGCAGGCAAAGCAAACATTTTTCTAAAATACTTCTTTACAATCAAATATTTTTATATATTTCAGCAGAAATTGGAAAACCACAGTTAAATTTTACCTCTGTCTAAAAAATTAAACAAATTGAGCTTGAGCTGTGATTCCACTCTCGTTTGTCTGTTGATTTGTACCACTCTGTCTTTGCTATTAGTTTTACATCAGCTCAGTAAAAAGGATTGGAAAACTAAGATTACACAGAGCTGCACTGGACTGCAGCAGGAGACAGCTGATCCAGATACACATGATATTTCTTTAACTTACTTTACACATGTCCACAATATGACTATATCTCATTTCATTGCAGGGCTCAACATTAAGGCATGTTCGAGCGACTCAGATTAGTAAAAGTTTGGTCTGGTCTAGTTAAAATATTTTGCGTCAAGATGGCCCTACTGGTCATGTATAACATAGAAACAAAACAAACAATTATTTGAGGATTTCTAAACAGTTGATTCAATCATATGTGCTTTCTTGTTTTATTGATGTGTTTGATCAGATTTCACTTTGAAATTTTTTGATCCCAATGAGAAATAATTGTGAAAAGATTTTATTTTGGAAAACCCAACTTGTTTTCTCTTGCCATAAAGTTTGCCATTGTTAAAAATTTATGCACTCTACATATCAATATTTCACCAATCTAATACGGTAACCATATTTGTTTTTATAGTAATTAAAGGTTAAACTCTACCCAGAGTTATTCTTCTGCTAGGTCATTTCATTACAATGTTGCCTAGGACTGAACTGAGTTGAAATATGATGCATTTCCCTTTCTGATATTTTTCTTGAATACAATAAAAAGAAATATATAATAAAAATTTACAACTTGACAAAAAAAAAAAACTTTGATAACCGTCAATATGTTTAACTGACTGTGATTTTTCATGTCAATATATCAGGTCATTGCAGGTCTAGTGAAGTTGAGGTCATGTCCGTTAAAATTTTTAGGTACTAGTCCAACTGGTCTAGTCTGTTTAAAAAGTTGATGTTGAGCCCTGCCATGGAAATGAGACAATCTCATCAGTAAATTCAGTCAGATGAGAATGAGAAGAATAAGATAAGTTGAAGTTTATTGATGACGAAATTCAGAATCTTAGAAAATATATGAAATGAAACAGATGAGTATTATACTCCTGCATGATTAGGCAGTGGCTAGTCTGGGTGTAATCTCAGCTGAGATTCAGCTTGGTTGAATATCTGGACTGACACTTTATCCAGCCAAGCCAAATCTCAGCCAACATTAGTCTGAGTGTAATCTCAGCTGAGATTAAGCTTGGCTGAATATCTGGAGTGACATCTTATCCAAAAAAGCCAAATCTCAGCCGAGATTAGTCAAGATGATAAAACCAGGCTTTTTCTTTATGTGACATAAGAGGTAAAAAAATTCATTTTTAAGTCATAAAATATTTTATTTTGAAAACCAAATCTAAGAAACAGAATCTTTTAAACTAAAACGTTTCTAAGGAAATAACCAGGAGAAACTGATATACAAAAAGGACTTGATTTATAAATCAAAGTTACTTTTATAACCATATCATTTTAAAGAATATTTCCTTAAGAAATAAACAAAAAAATTCTTTCCTTTCAACAATATGTGAATTTCAAAGTATTTTCATCATTTTATTTATATTAGTCTTTTGTCCATAAACTGTCATTGAGCAATTGTTGAGTGAAGAAGTTTCCTTAGTTTATTTGCATTTCATCATTTATTTAAACATTCTCTAGTGTATGACTTGTGCATCAATTTAGATTGAAGTTACAAAACAATAATTAACATGTAGCTGCTAGACCCTGTTCCAAAGAGCTAAATGTTTAAAACCCTACAGTCAACTAAAACTATAACATGAAATTCTTAATTGATTTCTAGATCTAAAAATTATTTAATCACTAATTTTGACCATGATATCAACATTCAGTCATTCACACTTCATGATCTCTAGTCAAAATAATCATAAAGATGAACATACCTGATTTCTTGTAAAAGTTGAGCATTTGTTAATACCCATCAATGCAGACAGCTGCAATGAAGGATCTGGGTGCGTAAGCACTGAGACCAATATGTCAGCATTCTCGGCTGACAGCATACCAGGCGAGTTCTGGGCAAGCAGCAAGGCATCTGTTATTTCTTCTGCGGAAAAATTCTTTGTTTTTGGTATGTGGACTTTGTCATATTTAAGGGACTGTGCTGGTACTCTTTGAGTAGGAGACAGAATTGGTCCGGAGGGCAAAGTTTCTGATTTTGTGACCCCACCTGGTGGTGAGGGAGAAGAGTTCGCATTTGGAGAGAGAACTGGTCCAACATCTTCTATCTTGGTTTGAACCTGAGACTGTTCACTGGGAGACATTTGTGTTGACTTTTGAAATGAGTTTGTAGATACTGTTGATTTTCCTGGACTTGCATTTAGAGATACTGTTTTTTCAGCCTCTGGTGGAGCTGTTTTTTCTAGTCTTTCACAAAGTGGAGAAGAGGCTTCATGCTGTTGTTCATTCTTCCTAGTTTTAGAATGATTTCCAGGACTTGACACAGAAGCAGAACTGACATTAGACATATTGTCTGCTTGGAGTGGTTTTTCTATGACTGGCTTAAATTCATCTTCTATTTTCCCTAGAGATTTAGGAACTGGTATTTTTGTTTTCTTTTCATCACCTGACTTTTTATTTGCTTCTGTCCCAGATTTTGAATCCTCAATTTTTGGTGAAGGTATTCTTGTTTCGTGTTCATCTACAGCTTTTGCTCTGATTGGAGGGGAAGATTTTTCTTCTTCTGTTTTCTGTCCCTTGGTTGTAGATGTATCGCATTTTGATTTAGAATCATCTGCCTTTTGAATATCATTTTGACTTTTCTTACTTGTTTCTGACATAAAAAAGAAAAAAGCTAAGAGGTAAAATATGCCCTTGAGAGTAGGGCATACTGGTATTATAAAAATCATTAAGACTAGAAAATAAATTGCAGAAAAGTCAGTCCAATAAAACTATCTAATGAGAATTAGCTTTTTAATTAATGATCTTTACTTGACTTAAATTGGGCCACAATGACACAATGCCCTTTTTGTCAGTTTTAATATTACCTTTTGCGTCCTCTTTCCCTTATTCTGTAATTTGTCTTGTATGACAAGATAATATAAAATCAAGGCTTCTTACCTGGTACGTTTTCTGGCTTTTTTCTCTGCTTGCGACTCAGATAAAACAGAATGCCGATCCCCAAAACTACAATAGCACCTGCCGCAATCCACTGCCCTCCGCGTGCCGACATGTTTCGTTTTCGTCTGCAATGTCGTAAAATTGTGAAGTAGCTCCTGTCTAAGATTTGCTATGTTTCGACCTCTAACATAAGATTCTAAAACAAAGACATTCGTTATAATAAAAACATATATTGAACATGTATTGAAGCACTTAAATTTCACATTACTCTCTTTTTTTGTTTAGCTCATGTCGTAAACTTTCATGTTTCAGTTTACGGTACCGCATGGTGTTTACATCCGGTGCATGTTGAAGGTGATTGTCAGATTGAACTGCAGCAAATTGCTGCAAAAGACTGTTAAAGGTTGTAAGACATCTCAGCGCAAAAATGGGTCTTATGCGGGGCCGTGCGCCCATCAGAAGGACCATGGATTATTTGAAGAAAGGAACTCTTTATATTAAACCGAATTTAAAAATTATGATGACAAATGTTATCCCAAACAACCCAGCCAGCTCTGGATTACAGTAAGTTGATAAACCATGTTAATTTACAACAAACTTGGTACACTGGTTTCCGATACGCTGTAGATGACTCCAATTGATTGTGAATCCCGCTTTGGTCCATCACATTTTTCTCCTCTCCTGTTACACTTGTTTCGTATACAAAAGGTCGCATGGAATTTGAATCTTCATCCTAGAAGAAAATAACAACAAATAATCGGTACATCGAATTACCGAAATGCCCTTGATTTACCGAAATGCCCCTGGAAACTACCGAAATGCCCCTGGAAACTACCGAAATGCCCCTAAAAAATATAAATATGTGGGATAATATGAAAGATTATGTGTTCAATATGTATAATTTATCTTGAAAAGAAAAATTAAAAAATATTTTAAATGTTGTTTTTATATTTTTTTTTATACAATACTATGTTCATCTAAGGAAGATAACTCTGTAACCTGTAGTTGATCGCTATTTCATCAGAATTTTACGATACTTACTTCTGTAAGTTTAGAAGTTTTGTTAGTTTATTTATTTTAAGAGAATAAGATAATTGCAATTTATTTATTTATTCTGTCAATTTCATACCGATCGTCGATGAAGCGATGAAGAAGAAAGCAGGGACCTATATTTATACTAGTATATACGGAGGTCCCTGAAGAAAGGACATTTATTGACTGACACTAAACAAATTCAAAAAATAATTTTTCTACACTGACGGTTTAGTTTTATCCTAAAGTAATCGATGTCAGTTTGTGGCAAGCGTACACTTGAACAACAATCTTCGGATATTTAATCATTTTACGAAAGAGGGTAGCCTTTTTTTTCCCTCAGTTGTGTAGCATTATTTTGTTGTTGTTTTTTTTAAATATCATTGAAAAAAAATAGTCTGAATGTGGACGCTTTTCAAGCTTAAGAATATCAGATACTCAGAAAAAATGTGATAAAATTTTGTCGAACAGTTCTTAAACATTATTTATCACGAAGTTATTCTATGCCGGCCGTTTTTTTTTTATTTATTTATTTTATTTTATTTATTTATTTTTCTTTTTTTCCCACCAATTCTATACTTTATATTGAAATCAAACATGAAAAAATTGAAATCCCTAAAAAATTTCCTTATATATTTCTTGTGTTTTCCCAGACCGTTTCACGTGGAGGTACCGCCATGCATTCACGATGTCCCGCAACGCTTCCCACTAAGAATAAATCGTAAATGGTAGTATAATATTTTTATTACGATATTATCTGCGATAGATTTAAATTAATTTATTCACTAACAACTCAATTAACTAGAATCATTGCATGTACGTGTTGCACACCTGCAGAGAACATTTTGTGTGAATTTACGGCACGTGGTATATGATGCAATAGCTGTCAATTTTATGCATTATTGTAATTATTAACTATTCAGCTTTCACTTTTAGATAATGACTTTTTTCACAAGAAAAAAAAAAACCTTTTGGACAAACAGTGTGCGAATTTTCAAAACTCTACGGGTCGTTCTTTTAAGAAGAGTATATAAATTGTCAAACAAATACAATATTTATTATGTACAATATATAACTTACATACTTTGGGGGGCAATATTTTAGTAAAATTAACACGCCCAATAAAAATTATTTATTCTGCGAACTTTGTCTGTATGTACTTTATATACAATGACAAAAATTAAGATTGATACAAAGCATCAAATCGACCGCAAAAAAATTATTTCCGTGCACAAGATAAATGATTTTCTTAAAAACGCAGAAAATCTATACTAGTGAATGTTTTGATGATCTCAGAAAATAAGGACGTAAACTCTCTCTTTCATGACTTATGCCCTAAATCTTTCTTACGTGCTAATCCAGGATGATTTCTGCAGATTTTGCTGCAAAATGAGGTGAAAGTCTAAGAAAAAAAGGAATGCCGTTGTGTCATTGGCAGTTAAAGCATTTTGAAAGCAATCTCAACTCAGACGAAACAAGAACAAAATAAGGATATACAACATGAATTCAAAAATAGTGACTTCAAATATATACTTTAGCACCATAATTTTATCAAGGATATTTCAGTGCGTTTTGGAAAAAAAAGAATTATAGACAAATATGGTATCGTTAACATTTACAACAATTTCTATTTATATGTACCTGCGGATGAGCTGCGGTCCTAATAAAGGCAGTGTTGCGGAATTAAGTTATAATACTTTTAATTATTAAAATAAACATGAAATTGACATATTTTCGTTTTCTGTCGTTGTGTATAAAAACAAATACTAGTATAGACTTTTGAAATCTGGAACGAATTTAGCATTAATTATTTTCGGGGAAATTCTTAACGGAAGTTATTCGTTACGGGAATTAATTTCAACAATAAAAAATTATAATTCTTTGCAATAGATACATCAACGTTTGTTTTAAGATGTGAATTAGATGTATTAATTGTTTCGTCTTGAAATTTGTGAATGAGAAAATCGACATGAAGATTTGCAGTGGAATACATGTACGTTTTACAAATGTTCATGTTGTAACACCAAATGCATGTATGGTTAAATATATTATATACAAAATTTCATGCTTATGTTGAGAATGAGAGTTGAAATCGATCTTTTTAATGAGGATGTTATAATAGTAAATTTGTCAGCGACAAAAAAAAAAAAAATTGTTATTCGGTCAAGTTTAGAAATGCTTTTTATATCACACTTTCGTTTTTTTGAGTGGTGGAATGAAATTGTCAGTATTGTTTGTCGTCATTGTATAATCATTACGAATTTTTTGGTCAAATAACAATACAAATTATTAATCTTTACAAAAAAATAAATTAAAGTAAATAATTTCATGAAACACACACAAAAAGAAAGAAAGAAAAAAAAGAAGAAAACATGGAATCAATAACAATATTGCAAGAGTTATCGTTCTTTGAAATCGCGATGTTGAGCAAAATAAACACCGTTTTTGTACTTATGTTAAAATTACGGCATATTTTGAATAAAAATTTAACATATTTTACAATAAAATGTATTCAAGAACATAACTAAAGGGGCATTTCGGTAGTTTTTAGGGGCATTTCGGTAATTTCCAGGGGCATTTCGGTAAATCGGGGGCATTTCGGTAATTCGGGTTACCCACAAATAATATGTTGAGGGTGCGACCGTTAGGGCGAGCGCAAATACATTTCAGTTTTAATTTAGATCGGGCTCGTCAAACTGCACGTGATATTTGCTACGTCTAGACTCTGACGTCATATGACGTCGTATGTATACTGCATTACCAAAACAGAGCCTGATCAGTGCTAATTTTAATCAACAACATTTAATCTACTATTTATCTGCTATATATCCATTAAATCAAGGTGATTTTATTTTTTGTTAAATTTTTTTGCTACCGCGAGAACGTAATTTGCGTCGAGATGCAATTTGCTAAGCATTATGGGACCACAGGTAACTGCGGAAAAAAATTCATTTGGATCAATGTGCAAAGTCCGAATTTTCTCTTCGCCCAGGCGTTGCTTTAAGAGCTCGCAGTGACGAGCGGCGCTTCGCACCGCTCGCTGCGCTCACTATTACGTTCAAGTCTAGAAAAATTGAATTTTATAGCAATAAGTGCCCACCATACTAGTAAAGTAATGAGGAGCTCATGTTTAACGGGATTTTATGGGGATAAATATTGATGAAGATCCAAAGAGCGATTGAAAGTTAACTTATCAAGATTTAAACCACTGGATCAAATAGAATTTTTATCCAACAAGACACAATATATTTTTTTTGATCGATTGAGCAAGACGTTCGGCCATTACGGACAACTATGGGTATCGTTTTTACAAAGTTACGGAGAAATTGCACATAGAAAATCGACCGAACTATGTTTATTGTGTGAGGAACATGTTCACTAAAATTCACCGATGCCTAAGCAAATGCGCTTTTGCATTAGTTTAATAAAAATTGGAGTAGAATAAAAAAGACCACCATTTGGTCAGTAAAATTCATCTCTGATATAGGAGATTGACCACCAAACAGGAGTTTAATGACCATTTGGTAGGCTATGCCCAACCTTAGAGCTTAATATGTTGACGGTGCGACCGTTAGGGCAAGCGCAGATTCCTATGCAGTTTTAATTTCCATCGTCTCTTCAAACCGCACGTGACATTTGGACTTTGACGTCACATGTCGCCGTATTTAAGTTGCATTACCAAATCGAAACCTGAACAGTGCTAGTTTTAATGAGGAATGCTTAATTTACTGTTTTTTTTCTGCAATATCCATTAAATCAATGCAATGTGATTTTATTTTTTGTTGAACTTTTGTTGCTACCGCCAGAACGTAGTTTGTGGCGAGATGCAATTAGAAAAGCATTATGGGACCACAGGTTACTGCGGAAAAAAAAATTGTTTGGATCAGTGTGCAAAGTCCGAATTTTCTCTTCACCCAGGCATTGCTTTAAGAGCTCGCAGTGACGAGCGGCGCTTTGCGCCGGTCGCTGTGCTCGCTGCTACAAAAGAATTACTTGGTATGTATTCATGATATTAAGTGATATTGTAAGTGATCTTTCCTTTCAGAGAATTCATATTCTGGCATTTACCACAGTTACGCTACAAGAATCCAGGGGTGCAGTTCCTGACATTCCGATGTATAGCACCAACACCTTATATACAGTTCATTAATGGTTAGTAATTAGATTAATCGCATAATTCATACATGCAATTCATTAATGGTAAGTTAGTAAATCATTAATTTTAATGCTAAATACAAAAATAACAGTTTCTCAAATCAAAAACATTTTTGAAAACTATGCATCTAAGTCAGTATTGCTATTGCTGATTTTGTTCAATATTCCAAGATATCCATTCATAAAATAATGTGTTTATAACTATTATGGTTTTAGATGTACTGTAAATGTGAGGGGCTTAATTGACGTCAAATATAAATGTCAGAAAATCTTATTTCCAACCTTCAATTTTTGCGTAGAGGACTGAGTTTTGAGTTATTTCCAAGACTGAAAAAGAGAACAAATTTCTCTTTTATTTCCAGTATATGTAATTCCAGTCAGCCTGCAAATACAAGACTAGAAACATTTAAAGAATTGTAGGGAAATTGTAGATTACAAAATAATGGACTAGAGGTCTTGAAAGTTTTTCAGTGCATCTCATGCAATTTTTTTAACATATTGTTTACGATGTAAATAGTACACATATTTTAATGTGACCTAAATTGAGGTGTTCTTTTGGTCTCTTTATTTTTTAGCACATGGCGAATCCATTGCAATGGACTGCTACCAACAAAGTAAAGAAGATGTCCATGATGAATTCCTTCAGACATTTTGTTACACAGATATAGAAATGATGTAGGTATTCTTAATTCACACCCAAGCACAGTTGATTCTGTATATGTACGCCAAGGAAATTTTTATTGATTTTCAATTAGTTAAAATCTGCAAAAACATCAATAAAACACAAGTTTCTAAAGCATAGCAAATTCATTGTACTGGTATATTACACAAAAATATATGTTTTTTTACAGGACAAAGATCCGAAACCAACAATTATATGGTGTAGACATTAAAACCAGGCGTCCAGAACTGTTTGGTCCTGATTACAGGAGGCACTGTATCTGTGTAGTGGCCGGGCAGGTGCCCTGTCCAGCTTACGAAAAACTCCCCAAAGAAATGAGGGGGAAATTCAGTCCTCTAAATGCTAGGAATAAATGGCGGAAAGCTGAAGAGGAAGTGTTAGGGAGGGAGCAGGAAACAGAAGTGTGAGGGGGGATCTACTGAACTGGGGGGGGGGGGGCATGATGACTGAAGTGTGATGGATTTTACTGCACTAAGGATACGGAGGGAGGATGATGGGGGGGGGGGGGGGGGGGCATGGTGTCAAAAGTGTGATGGATTCTACTGCACTAAGGATATTGAGGGAGGAAGAGAGTGGGGGGGGGGGGTATCAAAATTGTGATGGATTGTCCTTTGATAGAGAGAGTGGGGATGGTGACTGCATGTGATAAATGAGGACTGAAAATATAGAAGTGAAAACAAAGAATCTGTGTACATTGTATTTGGTGAATTTTAACCATGAGTGGATATGTTTTCAAATGTTAATTGTACATATTGTTTGATACACATATTTGATGTGTTAAAATGTACTTGTATGAATGTTGTGAGTATTAATGATTGTAATATTTCTATGAATGAATAAAAGAACTTGCATATATCATTCAAAGTCATATTCTATTTTAGCAATTCACCTTAGTATCATGAGGATTGTGTTTGGATTTTAAAGGCAGTTTTGAAATAAATCATGGGCAGTGAGAAGTGGTATTACTTAATCGGGCTGGGTATCGACTGGGAATTTCGTATTGCAATATATTGTGATATTTTAAACTGTATTGTGATATGTATTGCAATATTTTTAATAACAGTTAAAATGCTCTTTTGTTATTTTATTAACCTCCATTTATAATTAGAGTTAATAAAACTATGTATGTATTATAAATATGTTATAACAAAAAAAAGTTATTGTCGATTTCACTTCAGTTTTGCAACGAAATACAATCATACAACAGCAACCTTATTGTTTGGCATGATTGAAAGCGTTTCTGGCATCTTAAATTTCATATTTTACTTTAGAAATCCCAAGCCCAAGCATTTTACCAATATACTGGTACTGGAAAAATGTATCGCAATACAATATTTTTTGTTACCAAATCGCAATATACTGGAAAATCGATATTATAGTGCAGCCCTATTAATCATGGGCTGTGAGAAGCAGTATTACTTAATCATGGGCTGTGAGATGTGGTATTACTTAATCATGGGCTGTGAGATGTGGTATTACTTAATCATGGGCTGTGAGAAGTGGTATTACTTAATCATGGGCTGTGAGAAGTGGTACTACTTAATCATGGGCTGTGGGATGTGGTATTACTTAATCATGGGCTGTGAGAAGTGGTATTACTTAATCATGGGCTGTAAGAAGTGGTATTACTTTATCATGGGTGGTGAGAAGTGGTATTACTTAATCATGGGACGTGAGAAGTGGTATTACTTAATCATGATCTGTGAGAAGCTGTATTACTTAATCATGGGCCATTAGAAGTTGTATTACTTAATCATGGGCTTCTCAAGAACCACTGGGCCAATTTTAACCGAAGTTGGTTAAGCATTACAAAGCATCCTTGGGTTAAGGGGAAGTTAAATTGTTAATGTGAAGGGCCAAGCCCCCTTACAAGGGGAGATAATTAAGAAAAGGCAAAAATAAGATGGGGTCATTTAAAAAAATCTTCTCAAGAACCATTTGGCCAGAAATGCTGAAACTTATGTGAAAGCATCCTGCTGTAGTGTAGCTTCTAAATTGTTAAAATCATGACCCCCTGGGGTAGGACGGGACCACAATAGGGAATCCAAGTTTTACATTGAAATATATAGGAATTTTGTTTTTAAATCTTCTCAAGAACCAATGTGCCAGAATAGCTGAAACTTATAAGGAAGCATGTTGGTGTAATGTAGATTTTAAATTGTTAAAATCATGACCCCCAGGAGTAGGGCAGGGTCACAATAGGGAATCCAAGTTTTTTTTACATTGATTCAGAAATATATAGAAAAATAACTTTCAAAATTTTCTTTTCAAGAACCACTGTTCCAGGAAAGCTGAAACTTATGTGGATGCATCCAGGGGTAGTATAGATTACAAATTGTTAAATTTATGACCCCCTGGGGGTAGAATGGGGCCATAATAGGTATTACATTGGGGAAAGTCTGGTGAAAAACAGCAGGGCCAAAGTTACTCAGGTGAACGTCGTGGCCCACGGGCTTCTTGTTTAAAATCTAAAGAACCACTGGAACCGAAAAGATGAAGTAAATGTGGAAGCTTTCCAACATAGTGTTGATTCTACATTGTTCAAATTACGGCCTTCGGAGGTAGTGTGGTTTTTTGCTAAGAATTGCTAATCTTGTGAAACACAGTAAAATAAAAAGATATAACATTAACAAACAAAATTATGATACTGGAACAATTGTTATCATTTCAAATGATAGAGAAACTTTTCTAATGAGTAAGTTTTGGGCCATACTGTGTGAAATGCATAGGGAGAGTATTTTTTTTGAGAACCTCGTTAATTTTTTTTTGTATACATATATTAACGTGCTCATTTTAAATTTCTCGAAAAAAGTGTAACAAAGATGGATATATTCCAAACAACTTTTGTATAATCTCCAAACAATTAAATTGGCATTGGGTCCCAAAATATGGGGTGTCACACCCAGTCACTCACTTGAAGTAGTTTAAACGTGCATTGGTCTTGTAGAAAATACCATGCACCTCTTTCGAACACGTTCTCTCAGACCAAAAGGCATCAGAACAGTGAATATTAATACAAGTACTTGCTGATTTAATTAACCTGACAAATAGATAGTTTTGTAGATTATAACATCACTGAGTATCTGAGAATCATATAAAAATAAAATATAAAAGCGTAACTTCAATCGTGAGGAATCAAACTTGTCAAATTATAGCCTCGGGAGATGGGTGTAGGAGATCTTTTTTTTTTATATGGGAATATACATGTACATGCAGGGTAAAAATCTTCATAAATCTTTTCCTCAAGAACAGCAAGGCCATAATATACAACCAGCCTTGGATAGTGCCCGTGCAGATTCAAGTTTGTTCATTTTATGGCCCCGGGAATTAGGGTGAGGCCCTAAATGACAATAAGGGATATCCAAGTTTTACATAGGGAAATACATGGAGCTCTTGTTTATAGCCATGGTCAAGCCCGTAGAAAGGGTGGGGGGGCACTATTTTCTGAGTATAGTATTCTGCTGTAGTAAATTTTCATTTAGATACTGCCCCCCCCCCCCCCACCAAGTTTTTGTTTCTTTAAGATCAAGAATTGGCAAATTCCAGATCTTAGACACTTAGGTTTTTCTTTTTTTTAATTTTTTTCTTTCTTTTCTTCCCCCACCTTTTTTTTATTTTGCTTGTCAGATATTTTGGGGAAGTCCCCCCCACACACCTTTGAAACCGTTGCTACGGGCCTGATGGTAACAGTTTATGTTTGCCGAAATTAAAAGGCACAACAACTGTTTACTCTGCTGTAACTAACATACGTGTTTTATTGAAATCAAACCATAACGTACTGTAGTCCTGCGATGAATCTTTTGAGTTTACACTTGCACAGACAGCCAGGCTAACGGATCAGACAGTCAGAGGTACGGACAGGCTAACGGATCAGACAGTCAGAGGTACGTACAGCTGACACCGACGATCTGTACAGCTAAACATAATAAAATACTTCACATGCATGGTTTGATGTATAGGACAGAAGAACAGAATATTTATTTCCATTTTAGAGCCTAAAATAGAGAAATATGAAATGATTATAGTACGTGTAGCCTTCATGTAGTCTTCATACAGAACATGTAGCCTTCGGCCTCAGGGTGTATGGAATAAAACCCGGGGTAAATCCCCGTACACCTTTGACTGGACCTGGATAACTAATAATTAACCCCCCTCCGTACCCCTCCCCGAAAAGGGGGAATATTATATTTCATTTTTAATAATTTATTTTCAATGATTAATTCTGTACTTATCAAATTTTATTTAAACTGGAATTTATAGTTATTAGTAAGTACGTTACATACTACTACATATAGTCTCTTGAAATTATTAAAAGATGTGTTTACTTTAGAAATGTGTTCTGGAATAATGTGAAAGATTGATTTTCAGATCCCGGTCCGGTTGTCAGCTGTATCTTTACATCATGTGTATTAATTTTGTGAACCTTCATGGTGATTTTGATAAGTATATATTGAATTGTTGTTTCAACAGCCTGTACTACATACGTTACATTTTATTTTTATTTTCATTTCTTCCCAGGTATTTATTAATTTATGATTTTATCAGAAGGATAAACCATCCAAACCTCCCTCTAGATCCGCGCATGGATATGAACGCTAATCGTTATGAGTTTCCAGATATCAATTACAGCGTCCAAAGTGATTTTTTTTTTTTTTTAGAACAAGTAAAGTTTACGTCCTTTTTGTCTGAAGATCATGAAACATTCATGATTATAAATTTGGGATAGACATTAATTTTGTCGATTTTTATTTTTCATAATAAATTCCTATCTTTATCTTTGATTCTTTTTGATAAAAAAAATGCAAAGAAAATTTAAAGCACTGCCATTTTTTTGTTTTTCTTACAATTTGTAATAAAATGTTTATGCATTTTATTTTACTTTGAAATAAAAATATTTCATATCAAAAATTCGTGAGTGTTTTCCATGGACTTTTTCTTGTTGGAATACTTTAAGGACGTACGCAACGTACCTTACACTGTAAAAAATGTGTTTACAATTCAAACACTTTTCTAAACACTTTCTTGTCACCTCCTTTTTTATATGTTTAATTTCTAAACATGTAAAATTCCTAAACATGTCTTAGAAAGTGTTTAGATTTTAAACACTTGTGTGTTTAGGAATTAAACATATCTAAACACATGAACACAAGTGTTTAAATTCTAAACACATAACAGCAGATGTGTTTAATATCTAAACACATCATAAGTTTAATTTGTACCTGCAGAAAAACAAAACACTCGTAAATTTAGGCACAAAAAGTATATGTTTTTTAAATGCGCATAATTGTCAAAATTTTCAAAATATGTAACCAATATTAATTATTTTCCATAAAGCCACTGAACGCTGGAATATGTATTTAATTATACAATACAATGGACACTGTGCGAAGTACATGTACTTAATCTACACTAATAATGTAGGAGATAGAACTGAATAGATTTGATTAGTCTCAACAATTCAATCAGAATGACACATAATTAATAACGACACATAGATAACAAACTTTTTATCTTCAAAATTATTAAGAAAATAATATTAAGCTGACAATTTAATATCAAAACTTCATTGAATATTTCTAAAAGGCTTTATTAAAGAATTGTTAAACTAAAAAGACACAATGTATATTTATATATATATTTATTATAATCATTATAATTTGAATCGGCTGCAGAGTTTTCCTCATGTCAATCACAAAATATCAAATTTTATGAACTTTCAGCAAGTCCCAAAGCACCACATATTATAATCTATATCCCATCAATAACTGCCAGAAAGTAACCGATTTCGAGTGCACGAGGATAATTGTAAACACTGCCGAATTAACACAGTAGTCTTCAACAAATGAAGTTTCAAAGTGTTGATTATGGAACAACAACAATCACTTGAAGATGACACCAGGTACTCTGATACGTGTATTTTGAGTTCGATCTGGACTACGTACGGTGCCTGTAGGAAAGAAAGCCAGATTTAGAAGAAGTACACTATCACTGATATTTTACATTACTTAGAAAAACAAAATTGTTCAAATTTTAGTGAAACTACACTGATATAAATATAGATAATGACATTTAATATTATTTCCTCTCCTGCAAGTCTATGAACGAATTCAAGATATCCCAAGTCAACTTTATTTACGTTGCTTATCGTGGTTAATTAATGCAAAGAAGAAGAAAACAAACCTTTAATGTATTGCAGTAACAAGATGCCCTTTCACGTATTTCACTATTTCGTCATGGTTATCCCTTGAATTGGGTTGTCATAACTCTCACTGATACATCACCTTAGCTTGTTGTGTTTCTTTGTTTAGGTAGCCGCTCAAATTAACGTTCAAATATATGTGTGTCATTTCCGGGAAGATAACTCTGCACTTTACAGTAAAATGTGTTTAATTGCTAAACGCGTTTAGATATAAAACATGTTAAGACATAAGTGTTTAGTTGTTAAACACAATACTATACACGTTTAGATCTAAACATGTAATAGAAGTGTTTATTTCCTAAACACAATTTTTACAGTGTACCTACTGATAATTTTTCAAGATATTCTTAATTTAAGATTATAGTGCCATTAGATGTTCGTAGACAAAAAATCAGCATGCATTACCAGGGGTTTTGAAATGATATCAATTGATGAAAATTCATGTATAATTCAAAAAGAAAAATATACAAAAAATACTAAACATATATTCTAGATGTTTTATTTATCCAACTTGTTTTAGAAGAAGTGTACATGCACCAGCATAAATAGACATTAAAATGTAGCACACAGTTCCTTTAAGTATTGGAACTCTTCAATTCCAGGGAAAAAGACAATAAAGTTCAAACTACGTTGCGTATGTCCTTAAATGCTTAATTTTTTTGCAGACGATTTGATGCAAAGCATTTACTATTAACTCGTCTTTTTTGTGAATGGAAGATGCGACCTTACGAATTATTTTATGTAAGACTGCCTCATATTACCCCTAGCGGACAAGGTAGATAACTCAAGTAGCAGACGCCATGTTTTGAAAGAAACGGAAAGTTGGAGTAGTTTTAACTCATTAACAAGAGTTTCACAATTATAATTCATCAATGAAGATTGATGATGTCGTTAATCTGAACTAGTCCTATAAAATGGTGTGATATTTAAAGGCTGAAAAAGTAGAGTAAGTGTACTTGGGAAACGGTAGGACCGAATTTTCTCAAATTGAAAAAAAATGTAACATGGATCATGTTAAACAACTCAGAGTATAATATAGAAGGGTACAATTGTCATTGTGTTGCTTGTAGTTATATCAGTAAATGAATATTTGTCTTGTCTTCCATTGAGTTAGACAATTATCTTAATATTGCCCAACACCGAAAATTGATGTTATAGAAATTAATCGAACTTCACTAGAAAAGTAGGGATTAATCTCACTGAAATTACACTAAGGATATGGCCTCATCACATATACCCCAATAACTATATTGCTTAAGAATGGAGTATATCTGTTGCATTTTGAATACAAATGAAATTGCACTAAAATAGGAATAGCAAATTATATTGTTATCAAATGAAACTTTTGAGCTTGTGCATCTGCCTTCCAAGCCAACCCCCTCCCCCTTTGAAATCTAAAATTTCTCATTCTGACCTATGATGCTCTGTCATGTTCATAGGACAGTTTTACCTTGAAAGAACATTCTGTCCACATTGAAATATGTGTAACTAAATCAAATACTGGCTAAAAATGAACATGTGGTTCATATTTCTAATCAGTGTGATAACTGAGGGAAATGTAGTGTTTAATTTTTATATTACACAGTTATCTAAATAATATATGATCCACTTATAGATTTTTTTCAAACCAACATTGTTTTTTGTTTTTAGGCATAGGAAGCATTAGTTTTGTATACAGTAAAACTTGGTTATAGCAAAGTTATGGGGACCTGCTAATTTACTTCGCTATATCCATAATTTGTTATACCTTATAATGAATTACTTTAAGTATACATAGCGAATTCACAGCATAGAATTTGTTCACTCAAGTATGTCTACCAATGTATTTAAGGATGTATGAAATACAAAATTTACAATGAAGTTCAAAATTAATGTAAAATCAATGTATAAAAATTTAGATCTTTGAAATTCACTATAACAGATGTTATTTTTGTTATTTTTAACTTCTAGGGGACATGAAATCAAACATTTAATGGTGTGATAGCACAATCTTTCAATTTGGTGTTGTAATTTGTTTCTTGTAACAGAAAAAAAAGAAACAGTATACAGACAAATTTTATTTTTGAATTTTTAGTAGGAGATTGACCAGCTACTATCATGAGTGACTCTCAGGAATCAGCCGACAAAAGTTTTCCTAGTAAGACGAGAAACTCAGATAAGTCCGCGTCAGGAGGTGGCTCATACAGGTCATCAGACAGACCCTCCTCAGGTCAGTCAGGGTCAAGTGTAGAACAATATTCTTACAGCGATATCTCATTCTGGTTCAAAACTTTGACAAAAATTTATTTTGACTTGCTCCTCATACTTTTTTCTCCTTTCAAACCATAGAAAAATCAACATTTCACAATAATTATTTGTATTCTGTTTATGAAGCACGAAACAGAATTTGTATTAAATCCAATAATTTAAATGATTTTTTTTTTAATTGAAGAACATGTAGATATCCACTTATTTATCTCAGTTCTGTTAGAATTTTAACATTCTGCTTTATTTAGTACACTGTATATCAGTTACTTTACTAGACACCTCCTCTGTTCATGTATTTTATGTTCTAAATTGTTGGCTCAGTTGAAAATGTGATATGGAATTCCTGAAATAAATATTTTCATTATGATGAATATCTAAATGTATTGTCCACTAATTTATATATGGATGAACTCTAAGCATGTATTGATTTCATAATTTTGTTTATTGCAGGAAAACCCCGGTCAGATACATCGAGACGTTATGACGACAGACCTCAGAGGTCCTCATACAAAGCCTCGTCACCTCCTAAAGGGGGAACCTCAGGGTTTGACACCAAAAGAGGTATATTCTTCATGCAGTAATCATGCTGAGTTTTTTTTATCACCATCAGCATTTTGACACTTGGTGCTTTTTACTCTCAATGTGTTATATTACTCCCTGTTTGAAAAACTTGGGGGGGGGGGGTATATAATGATGGGGATGTCCTGCAGTACCAAGGACATCACTTTTTACATTACATCTCAAAATACATAAATCCTTAAGCTTTTAAACTAGGTTAGATCAAACAATTATTTTTTTCCCCAAAATTTCTGCTTTTATAGGAACCCTTGAATTCAGGTAGTATATTGGCATGGTAGCAAATTCAAAGTCTATTGGGATTTAACATTATGAGAAATGGCCACCACATTGAAAAGGGATCCATCATTATTTGTGATTTTTCATTGGCTTGCCATCAATTACATAATTATGTTGTATTATAGGAGTCGACATACAAGTTTAGCAAATTTTCTGTCATTTCAATGAATGAAAAAAGGGTTGTTATAGTACCTATAATAAAAAAAAACAGGAGTGCAAGACCTTCTAGGTCTATGGAGAACCCCTCTGTTAATGTGGAGGATGCCTCAAAATCAAATTTCTGTCCAAAATTGTAAAACACAATCCAATATTTTTGGAAAGAATCATTCTTTATGTGTTATATGCCTGTTCTTTGAAATGTCTCTTTAACAACGCCTCATTTTTCCACACTCAGACACCATTTGATAATGTAATACGGTCTTGTGGATTTATTTATTTATTTTTTTCAATCATAAACCCAGGAAAAAAGATGGTGATAAGCTTATTCTGATAAAGTTTTTTCCAGTGCAGAATTCTGAAATTTCATGTAAACTGTTATCATTTCCTATGAATTCTTTATCATGTTTATTGTAAACCATGCAGCATTTTGTGTATATTGTGTGAAGCATGTGTACAGCTTGTGTCTTGGGAAGATGCACATTTAAGGGTATATACAAACAAGTTAATGTCATGTAAAAATGATAATTTCCATTATCCTGTACTTTGATTAAGGTGCCAAAGGTCAGACTGATTCTGGATATGCTGACAGGGGAGGGAATTCTAAAAGGGGAGGTGACTCAAGGTCAGGACCTGGAGCCAGGGGAGATAAGTGGTCACAGCGAGGAGAAAAAGGACCAATTAAATCCGTTAATAAAGGCCCTGGTGGTGACAGGAATGGTAAACAGAGGTAAAAATAAGGACCAATTAAATCCGTAAATAAAGGCCCTGCTGGTGACAGGAGTGGTAAACAGAGGTAAAGATAAGGACCAAATTAAATCCGTAAATAAATGCCCTTCTGGTACCAAGAGTGGTAAACAAATTTGAAGAAAGAATAGGTACCAACTAAATCAGTTAATAAAGGTTCTGCTGGGGACAAGAGTGGTGGACATATGTGAATATGGATATAAGAATATGAATAAGAATGGAAAAAATTCTGTAAGTTTTGATTAAGTTTAAAATCTGGACCGACTTAACCTGGATTAATTTTATTGTTAATATTAGATGAGCACTGTCTTGGTGTTCCTACAGCTTTACAATACCATATTAGGCTAAAATGAAATGACATTACCACAGTCTTTTCTCAGACCAGATAAACATGATAAAGTTGGAACACAGTGGTTCTTGGTTAACTTGATCCATTGTAAGCTACATGGAGTGAGTTAATCCACATTTACTTCAGTTAAATGCTGGGTTTTAATTTGACGTTATGAATTAAAAGAAAAAAAAGCATTTTATGATGGAAGCAATGGAATATTATAAAGATTAAATTTGAATTGCACAGTGCTAAAGATAACAGATCTTCAGAAGAGAGGGGAGATAAGCGAGATGATAAGAAGACGAGCAGCAGTAAGGAGATAAAGTCCGCGGCTGAGTTAGAGGAGCAGTGGCAGAACGAGGATGAAAAGAAGAGGAAAGCTGAGGAGGAGGCCAAGAGGAAGGAGGAGGACAGGATCAGGAAAGAAGAAGAAGAGAAGGTATGAAGGATGTCACTTAATTTTGTTAATGTGTTCTGAGGACTGAAATGTCTCCTGTAATTGTGAAGATGAATATTTTTGTGCTGTATGTTATTTTTTGTGCTGTATGTATATTTTTTGTGCTGTATATTGTTTATTTGTTTGATTTCCATTTTTTTCTGACAGAGGAAAGAAGAAGAAGAAAAACAGAGATTCCTAGAGGAGGAAATTGTGAGTAGAAAAGTTTGTTTTTATGAATAAGTACAGCATGCTGAAATTTGTTAATTTAAAAAGATCAATGTAGCTGATATGTAGATCAGTGTGTGTTATTTAATGACAGAATAATAATTATACTATTATGGAGACAGTTACTATTGGGAAATGGGATAAAGGGGGTAGTATTTTGAATTCTTAACAGATGTATAAACTTAAAAGTACATGTATATCATTATATCAATGAGAAACCACACAAGAGGAATATAGGTTGAGGTATGAACTTTTTTATACAGAAAACTGTAAAGGACTACCAACAGGAGTGTCTGGAGAAATACGAGACGAAGAGGAAGTTACGAGAGCAGAACCAGGAAGCAGCAGGTCAGACTGAGTATTGTAAACCGTGTAGTGTTAATACATAGGATCAGTATAGTAAGCTTTACTGAATTGTTATAGAAATGGTATTACAGTCTTTCTATTGTGGTTACTTATGATGGATTCAGTATCAATTTACTCCTATTCAAATTGCCTCAACAAGATAATGGATATATTGGTAATTGATACATACAGCTATTCCAGATACTCATAGTCATTTTCAAAGTCTTTTAAATGAATCTGTTACATGTTTTTTATGCACATGTGCATGTCTAAATTAAATATTGTAGAAAACCGACCAGATGAATCCTTCTTTAGTAGATTAGACTCCAGTCTTAAGAAGAATACAGCGTTTGTCAAGAAACTTGTGAGTGTACCCAGAGACATAAATAACAATGATTTGCAACTGTTTGAAATATCATGAGATCTCGCTGTCCCAGTGGTTTTCTTTTTTCAAATCATTTTTGTATAATTCAAAGTGCTGATGACTTACATGAAACATGATCTCCAGATGGTTCATTGTTCAGGTGAGAAAAGAACTTATTTAGCATTATTTGATATTTAGCATTTTGTGATCTTTCTTCCAGAAAAACTTAACAGAGTCACAAAAAGACAGTTTGACAAAAGATTTTAAAGGCCTTAATCTCAACAAGTACATAGGAGAAGCTGTAAGTTTTTTTTTTCACAATTTGTATTAAGAATATGCATTTACAGTACTGTAAACATGGATATTAGTGCTTATTGTTAATTATGAGAATCAGTAGCTCAAACAATACAGGTGGTGGTTATTTCTATGATGCCAGTACATGTATGTATCAATAATGCTGAATTAAATGTACAGCGTACATGTATGTTCATATAAAAGCGATTTTCTGGTGTGGATGACCACATTATTTATTTAATTATTAATCTACTGCGTTTGACAAGTTGAGATGGAATTTGAATTTTTCCAACAATGAAATTTTATGTTGTAGGCTGCTGCCATTACTGAAGCGAAGTTAAAGATGTCGGACATTGCCTGTGGGGTCCACATCTGCTGTTTGTTTTATCAGAGGTACTCAGAGTTTTCTAACTATCTGATGGACAATTGGCAGAAATACCTTCTGAACAAGAAAGATGAAAAGGTAAAGTCTGATGGTGTTCAAAGGTGAGGTGATGATTTTAAAGATAGAGATTTCTGAAAAATTCTACACAAATTTTTGATACCTTTATTAACACTATGAAGTCTTTTTCTGTAGTATCATTATCCCACAACATTTTAAGAGAAATGAACGATCGTGTAAAATTTATTGAAAAAAGGAAGGTTAATTGAGTTTAGGTTGCAGCTTCATTTATGTGTATAAAGTATTAGCCATTCAAAAATACAACCTATTTATGTAGATCTAAACCCTATAGTGTTGATTTTCAGATAAGTAACCCAAGTAAGTACCGAGTAGACCTGCGCTTTTTTGCTGAGTTACTGTCGGTGGGGCTGTTTAGCCTGAGAGAGGGACTGAATGTCCTGGCCGGTCAGCTGAGTCTACTGACTGTGAGTGACAAGGAGGAACATAACAACCTCACCATACTGACCAGCTTCTGTAAGCACTGCGGGGATGACTATGCCGGACTTCTGCCCCGTAAAATCAGGTAAGCACTGCTGGGACGACTACGTCAGACTTCTGCCCCATAAAATCAGGTAAGCACTGCGGAGACGACTACCCCTGACTTCTGCCCCGTAAAATTGGGTAAGCACTGCGGGGATGACTACGCCGGACTTCTGCCCTGTAAAATCATGTAAGCACTGCGGGAACAACTATGCCAGAATTCTGCCCAGTAAAATTGGGTAAGCACTGCGGAGACAACTATGCGAGACTTCTGCCCCGTAAAATCAGGTAAGCACTGCGGGGACAACTATGCCAGACTTCTGCTCCATAATATCAGGTAAGCACTGCGGGGACAACTATGCCAGACTTCTGCCCCATAATATCAGGTAAGCATTGTGGGGACGACTATGCCCAGTAAAATCCACGGTGCATTTGCCCTGCCCCGTAAAAATGGGTAAAAAGCACAATCCATATGGGAACAAATTCACTGACATGCTGGAGAAGCAAGACAGGTTTGATCAATGCTTTCAAGTTAGGAGAATAAACGTAGTGTCCCAAATTTTTTTGGCATTTTACTATTTTTTTTAATTTAAATCAAAGATAAGTTCTGTATTGATATGGTATAAGATAAATTAAAAAAGAATACTTCTAAAAAAGACATAATGTACATGTATATGACTGTTTCTTATGACATGCTTGGTATTGTGTCTGATGATGTTTGAAATGGTCATTTCAAATTTATGATGGCATGGTCTTGTCAGGTATTCATGTGTACAATCTTGATGTGTTGTAGATTGTTGGCAGAGAAGCATGGAGTAGAAATTCCTCGCAGTACAGTAAGTTACTGTAGTAGTGGTAAAGTATTTGTTGTGAAATTTTTAAAATTCAACAAAAAGGAAGTCATTTCATTTCCTACCCTTAGTTATGAGAGTCAGAGGAGGGGGGTATGGGGGTAATACTGTGAAATCACAAAGTTAAGGGGGGGGGGGGTAATTTTCATGGTATGATTAAAGAGACCCACAAGTTCATGTCCTCCATGAAATGTTATTACAAAGTACAGTATGATGTATGTTTACCAACCATGAAATTATGTCTAAGGGAATCAGTAATTTTTTCACAAACCATGAAAATCAGACTCCTCAAAAGTAAGAGATTTTACAGAATACTAAACATTCTTGTGCACGTTCTTGTTCATTTTGTATAATTAGATGACTTTAATTTTATTAATATGATGATTTTTTGTGTAGTTGCTGCCTCCAGAGAGACAGAAGGGTTGTCGTAATTTACTGGGCGAGTACTACCAGTCTCTGTGTAAACACCTACTGACTGACCACAAGGAACTCAAAAACATTGAGAGACAGAACAGACGCATTCTACAGGTCAGTAATACAGTCTATATGTAAATACCTACTGACTGACCACAAGGAACTCAAAAACATTGAGAGACAGAACAGACGCATTCTACAGGTCAGGGGTCAATGGATTGTAATCCTAGAAAATTATTCATAGATGAAGGATAAAAAGGACAAGAGAAAGCTGTATCTTCTTTGAAAGTTACTATGTCTGATAAAAAAAACCCATCCTTTTAATAAAAACGTTTCATTATATTAAATATTTTCTAATTATATGCATATTTTGATTCGAGCATATAGAATAATATTGTTGACAGAGAATTTATAGGTATTATGAAGTTATTTATTTGAATAGAGTTATACATACATTTTCTGGTTTTCTAGACTAAAGGTGAGCTAAGTTCCGAGAGAAAGGAGAAGTTCGACACAATGTTACAGGCATACCAGAAACTACTTACCAATACTGCAGTGTTTGCAGTAAGTTATGTTCATATTGTACATGACACTTTTAAGTATATTATAAAGGTTAAGTAAGGCCATCCATAAAAAATGTTTGTTTGGAATTGCCGCCTTGAGGGTTCCCGACCCATGAAGAAGGAAGGGAGGAAATTTTTTTTCCATGTTGAAGTTAATCAAAAATTGATGAATAAATTTTTATTGATAAGTAAATACAAATAGTAGTGTATCTCACAAGCTTTGACTCTAAAAAAAATACATTCCTCTTAATTTTGACAATAAAATATTTTCAGTAGGGGTAACTGTAAAACTTTTTATTCATGAGAATTTTATTTTTTGCGTAATTGCGCGAGTCGGTCCACTCGCAAAATTTTTTATTCTTGCTCATATTTCTATTGTAAAGGATTATATACAACAGAAAGCACAGCTCGCGAAATTTTTGTCTTGCTAATAAAAACCAAATTGCTTACTTGTGAAAATAAGGTGTTGCGAAAATGTAGTATTTCAATGAGGCAGGGAGCAATTTGGAACAAACAATTTTATTTTGGCCTTAATCTGATATTAGATGTATCGGTGCTTAGAAAACATTAGGAATGATTAAAAAGTAACATACATAATTATACATGTACTGCATCTCTTTTAGAAGATTCTTTCTTGTTCAACATTTGTTATAATGAGTCACATCTTTGTAGGACTTGTTGGATGAAGATTTACCTGAATTACCAGAAGATGGTAAGATAAGCTTTTCTAGTAAGAAACTGTCATAAATATGCTGTAAATGCCATTACCATATCCATATATATACTCAGTCTGGGATTTACATGTAAGTACTCACTAGTTTATTTTCTAATGTACAATTTTATTTCAGAAATCAAAAGAGATGATGACACTGGGTTTGACATATTTAATCCTGAGACAAGTGCAGAGGTAAAGAAAAAAAAGTCTATTCAAAGATACACTTTTGCATTTGTAGTTGTACATCAATCACAAATTGTTGAAAATGTAGGCATTTAACCTCCATTTAATTATTTCAAAACTTTGAGGTTTAAAAGTTTAATATCATTGAAAAAAGGGGCATCTTGGTCATAAACATACAGTGTAGGTTAATGTGTAATTTATAGTTTCAGTACACAGGGGACAGCACTCTGTTTGAAGATGAGGATGCCAGATCTTTTTATGAAACTTTACCAGACCTCAAGGCATTCATTCCAGGGGTAAGGGAAATATTCTCTATAAAACACAGCTAAAGAAAGACAGTACACTGTAAATGATTCTTTAATATTTCATTTAAAACTGCTTGCGTGCATAAAAGTGCAGAACTTTTCACAATATTCAGTTTTAAAGCTTAAGTTAACTGTCACTAAAATTATGAAGCCTTCACCCTGTGCTTGTTTCTATAGATTTGCTACAAGGACAGTGAACAAACAGCAGCTAAAGATGGCAGCAAGGATGATCTATCTTGTCTGGATGAAGGTAACTTAATCATATTATTACAGTGTAAGTATAAACAGTGTAGATACTTTAATTTCCGAGCTTAAACACCTTGTCAGTGGCATATTTACATGTACGAGGGTTGTCCGTAAAGTTCGTGGACAAGCTAAAATTTAAATAAAAGTTGCGTCATAGATATTTATTATTAGTATATTTATAATCCTTTACTATATGTGAATTACAAAATGAAAAATTTTATTCAATTTTAAGTGTATAATTACAATTATGACTTCATTATTAAACTTGGGATGGTGACCCGGAGCACAACAAAGTTTTAATTAAAAAGTTATTAATTACTTTATACATTTCATTTGTATTTTGTAAAATTCCGCGGTAATTTGGATGGCTTTTACATTTATTTTATAAGGTTGACAAAAGTTATAACGTCAAACCTGTAAAATTTGAACGTTCAAAGTTTCGAAATGGCAGAGAAATCGAGATCAGAGTTTATTAAGATAGTTTCGTCACTGTTCGAAAAAGGGACGTTTTCGGAAAAGGTGGAGCAGAGAGTAGTGATAAAATTGTGTGTAGACATCGGAAAAACACCAACAGAGACCCATAAATTCCTTAAACAGTCGGGAAATCATAGTAAAGTAATCTATTCTTTAGTGTTTAAGTGGCACAGAAGATTTTCGGATGAAAGAGACTGTTTCCTGGATGACATGCGTGAAGGAAGACCATCGTTTCGAAATTGTAGTGCTGTAAAAAATGAAGTTCGTAACGTGACTTTCCGTACATACAGTCGTTTTACGAGGACAGAGGTTTGATGATTTGCAGGATCTGAGACAGGAAGTTGTTAAATATTATTTCATGTATGAAACCAGAACAGTTTGTGCACATTTTTGAGGACTGGTTGAAACGACATAAGAAATGTGTTGAGTGAAACGGTGACTGCGTTGAGAAAACTTAATTGTGTTTAGCATTTGACGTCGAGTAACGTCAAGAACTTTCGTTTTACTGCTCCGGGTATGAGTGTGTATCTTTTTTGTATCTGATAAAATATAACTATTTGTGCTTTGTTTGTGATTAAAACTTGCATATTAATAAACTGAAACATCAATTTAATGAAAATAATAGTTTCATATATTTTATCAATGTTTGTCAGTAAATATCAATGTTGTCCACAAACTTTACGGACAACCCTCGTATGCCAATGTAAATGGTAGGTTCATAAAAGATGCCTGTGTATGAGGTTTGTTATTTCATGAGTCCTAGCCTGCAGTATACATGTAAATGTAGATTTTCTTCTCTGAAATCTGATAATTAAAGTACAGTTTTTGTTGGTTGTGTTTATGACAGACATGGAAAGCCTCCAGATCGAGGATGTGGAAAGAGAAATGGAAACAGAGAAACAGATTGCAGAAGTGGAGAGTAAAGAGGCAGAGGATCAGGCACAGGAAGAGGAAATAGCAGAGGAGTATGGGATGTTACCCGATGCTGATGGTAAGTGTGTGTGAGGAGTATGGGATTTTACCCGACGCTGACGGTAAGTGTGTGTGAAGAGTATGGGATGTTACCTGACGCTGACGGTAAGTGTATGTGAAGAGTATGGAAAGTTACCTGATGCTGACGGTAAGTGTGTGTTAGGAGTATGGGATGTTACCTGACGCTGACGGTAGGTGTGTGTGAGGAGTATGGGATGTTACCTGATGCTGATGGTAAGTGTGTGTGAGGAGTATGGGATGTTATCTGATACTGACGGTAAGTGTGTGTGAAGAGTATGGGATGTTACCTGACGGTAAGTGTATGTGAAGAGTATGGGATGTTACCTGACGGTAAGTGTGTGTGAGGAGTATGGGATGTTACCCGACACTGACGGTAAGTGTGTGTGAGGAGTATGGGATGTTAGATAATGCTGATGGTAAGTGTGTGTGAGGAGTATGGGATGTTACCTGACGGTAAGTGTGTGTGAGGAGTATGGGATGTTACCTGATGCTGACGGTAAGTGTGTGTGAGGAGTATGGTATGTTACCTGATGCTGACGTTAAGTGTATGTGAGGAGTATGGGATGTTAGATGATGCTGACAGTAAGTGTAAGTTGAAGTTAGTATTAGGGTAAGCCTCACTTGTAAACAGATATGGATTTATTATCACTAATTAATAATGCAAACGTTGGAAGAGTGTGAAAATGTTTAGAATTTCAAACAACTCCCCCCAAAAATAATTTTCTTGTTTTTCAAATGTGTAGCAATATTTTACATTTGCAGGGTTGTTGCAACCAAAGAGTGAGTTATACAAAAAAAAAACTGTTTACATTTTTCCTTTCAATTTGTGATTAAGAAGTTATTTAAAATCTCTGTTCTACATTAATTTTATTAGGTCACCTGAGTCACTCATGTGACCTATTGTTATCTGTTTATTGTCCATTCTTGTGTCTCATGAATTAACGTTTGAACATTTTCAGCTTCTTCTCTAGAACCAGTAATTAAAACCAATTTCAACCAATTTTGGCATATAGCATCTATGGGTGAAGGGGAACAAAAATAGGAATTTCATGGTCCCTACCCACTGCATAAATTCTTCAAGAAGCTTCTTCTCTTTCCATGTATATTCAGCAGACAAATTGATTGCATAGTTATAATGAGCAAGGTTGGCTCTTTCAAAATTGTTAAACTCATGGATGCAGGGTTGGAGTTCTAGTGTAAGAGAGGGGTTCTATTAATTATGCAGTGAAAATGCATACATTCTTTAAAACATACTCTTTTCTGCCCCTGTGTATTCAGCAGAGAAAGTAATTGTATGGTTACATGTATGATGAGGGCTCCTCTTCCAAAATTATGGAATTCCCTTTCCAAGGGTCAGGGGTTCTGGTGTTAGGCTGGGGCTCTAATAATCATTAATTGCAAGTGCATAAATTCGTTAAAAATCTTTTTCTTTACCCATGTATACTTAGCAGACAATCTAAGTGCATGGTTATGAAGAGCAAGGATGCCTCTTCCAAACTTTGTGAAATCCATGGCCCCAGGGTCAGGGGTTCTGGTGTTAGGGTGGAGGTCTATTCATTTTAAAGTGAAAATGCATTATTTCTTCGAAAATCTTCTTTAAATTTCTGCTTCTGGGTATAAAGCAAACAAACTAAGTACTTGGTTATACTGAGGCAAGGGTGCCTCTTCCAAATTGTGAAATTTCTGGGTCCCTAGGTCAGGGGCTCATTTGATTATATAGTGAAAATGCATTTCTCTGCCTAGGGTTGTATTATACTCAAGTGACTGTTAAGGCCTTTGGGTCTCTTATTTCATTTTTAGCTCAGTTGAGCTATTGTTTCAAGTTAGGTAAGGAGTTGAATGTATAACATACTTGTCATCGGAACTCTAATAAAAATTGGAGTCTTTATGAAAAATAACTGAACACCCTATTCCAATTTAGCTGATATTGCCATAGTTTTATTGTATTCAGTCTGTTACTGTATTTGAAAATATACAATTCTTGATGAAAAAAATAAAGAATTTACATCCATTATTTTTATTACACAGAGGAAGACACAGACACAGGAAGTTTAATGAAGATGCAGTACGAGGCATATATCCAGACACTTCCCAACTGTGTCAACAAAGATCTCATAGATAAGGTATAGTTTTATACGGAGCTCATAGACAAGGTGCCTTGTACAGCTAAACAAAGACCTCTTGATAAAATATGGTTTATAAAAACCTCATGATAAGGTAAAGTTAAGATATACTGTACATGTAAGGTAGAGGTGACAATGACCTCATAGACAAGGTGTAGTTCAAATCCCTGTTTTTTTTTTTTTTTTTTGGGGGGGGGGGAGGTCTTTTTTTAAAGAAGTTATTTTTAATAAAGACTTGATAAAGTATGGTTAACAAAAGCCTCATAGACTAGATAGAATCAACACTTCATTGACAAGGTACACCAAGGACTGTGTTTTTGGAATACCTCATTGACATATTAAAGTTGAAACTGTTCCTAAAAACAGTCAAGAATTTGGTTAAGCTGTCTAGATAAGGTAGAGTTCAGAACTGTGTCCACCAAGACCTTATAGACAAAAATATAGATCTCTGTCTATAAAGGACTCATACATAACATACACGAATATTTGTTGATTTAAAAAAATTTTTATTTTTGAAAATCATGCAAGCAAAATGAGTCTAATTAGAAATAAAATGTCAGAAAAATCATACCACTATTGTTTGTTTTATGTTTAGAAAATTTAAGCTAAGTAGTATATTTAGTTTCATGTATATAGAATCGCAAAGTAATCATAGTGCTTATTGAGATTGGTGTTTTCAGGCAGCTGTTGAGTTTTGTATGAACTTCAACACCAAGAGTAACAGGAAGAAGTTAGTGAGAGCTCTGTTTACCGTCCACAGGACCAGGTCAGTACATACAAGACACACCCACCTCGGACTTCAAATCTCATCCCATTTAATTATTACAAGTAATACATGTAGAAAAATGGAAATATTTGTATTTACTGGTTATAAGTATACTCAGGTACTGGGTATTTGTTATATTGCACCATTTTAATTTCATTTTGGTTGTGAAATGCTCTACTCTTCAGTGCTCCATAAGACATAAATTAAGAGTTTACTTGTTGATTGATGACTTTTGTAGGTATGACCTTTTGCCTTTCTACTCTCGGTTTGTGGCTACCCTGTACCCCTGTATGCCAGACGTGGCCAGTGATCTGGTTCAGCTTCTCAAGGGAGATTTCAGGTGGCATGTAAGTCTTAAGTAGACTTAGGGACACTTATAGGATATTTAGATTTCCTGATTGTTAATTCTAGAGAAATAGGCATAGACTGAAATACATATAACAAATACAGAGTTCATTTTTTGATGATGAGTAAACTTTGATAATTTGAATATCTTTGATTTTTATTCTGTAGGTAAGAAAGAAGGACCAGATTAACATAGAATCTAAGCTTAAGACTGTGAGATTTATAGGTAAGACAGACATATAGTGAAGATATTGAAGCCATTCATAAGTTATAAAAATGTAATGATCCAAGCCAAATTAATAAAGAAAATATTATAAGTACCATCCACAAAGCAGAGCAAAGCAGGGATCACTTTGTTGTGCATTTTTGTGTCTCTCTGTTATCTAATGATTTTTTTGCACAATTATATTGTTTGGCACAATGGCTTTCTGCACATGCTCCCAGACACAATCTTGTTAGTGAATAAAAATGTTCTCCTTTTCTTTTTTCAAGGTGAACTTGTAAAATTCAAGTTGTTCCCAAAGTCAGAGGCGCTTCATTGCTTGAAGGTAAACAACATATACATGTACATGTACTTAAGGTGAAATTACATGTATTAAAAGTTTTCAAAGAATAATCAAAATATTTCTTTGTTCTTGCATCGGTGAATTTTTTTTTTAATGAAATCCATATTCGGTCATGTATTTTATAGCAAAGACTGATTTACTCAGAGAGTACCGTAATTTTTGGGGTATATGTCGATGGGGTATATAGGTCGAAAGGCTCATTTTCAGCCGTAATTTTTAAGAAATCCTTAGATAGGACGAACTCGGAAGATAGGACGAGGCTTTGTTTATCGATTTTCTATATATTCTTACGTAGATACTACGCATCAGACATGTAAACCTCTTTAACTTAACCCGTGATATTTACGTATTGATAAAATAAACCGGTATTTTTATGAGTACAGCATTTTAATAGTGTTTTATATAAACATAGTTAAAACTTCGTTGTATGTGATATATCGTATTTTCTCCAACTTGCCTGTTAAATGCCGTCGTAGTTTGACTCTGTCGTTAAACACATAAATACGGTAGTATACAATAGCTATAATTAGGGAAATACCCGAAATCAAACTATAATTATTTCCATTTTAGAACATCGTGGACACATTCTTTTATGCCGAAATTATTTACTGGGGTACAATATTAACTTCGATGACCGCCATTTTTATATTTCTTGTCCAGGGATTTGCTAAAACACGCAATTGACTATTACATGTAACAGTGAGCAATTGAAATTAATCATATTATCATGCTATATTTTTGCTTGAAATATTGTTGTAAAAAATAAATTTAATTGAGAGTACATTCGCAATTTAACAGTCATCATGAATTTCACAGTTTTGTTTGTTCGATGATGTATAGCACTAATACCCCTGTAAAGGCACGTGGATCTGTTAATCATGCCCTGCGGGTTTTCAAACCAACACAGGTGTTAACACCTTTGTGTACACAGTGTATATCCCTTTATCTGTCAGACAATTAAAATTCTATTAGAAGCCAATCTTTGTATAATTCATTGTACCCCTTGGGATATAAAACAAAAGAGTTATGACTAGCGGTATATTTGGTAAATAATTTTAGGAATTTAATGGCAACAATTTATTTCACGCATTTTACATTTACCCGTAAATAAATAACACAAGACAATGAAAAAATATTTAGGTATACTATATTAATTAATCGTTACAAATAAATGGTAAACAAAAATATTACAATTGCGATTGTGAAAAACTCTTCCATATTTTAAACTTTGATACGGTTGCGGTTTTATTTTTAGTAAACGATTGCGACTTCCAACTTCACATGTTGTAAATATACATTGAGACGTTATTTACTAGGTGATATTATAAGTTTTTTGTACATCGACGGATATTTAATGGAACTTCTTTTGTAAGAAATCAATGGAATAAATAATTAATTCTTTATTGTTTTTTTTTTCTCGGGAAAATAATTTTAAAAAATACGAAAATAGCACAGATTTGCTTTAAAATTGACGTAAATTTTACTGATTTGGGGGGCATTTTTCGTAAACTTGAGCCTTAGATAGGACGATTCGTTAAATAGGACGACCCCAGCGGTTCTGAGGAAAAAAGTATCGTCCTATCTTCCAAAAATTACGGTATTTCATATACACTGAGTTCCTTGAAATGAATATGAATTAACTGAGATCTATTTTCTTATTGAGTAGATGTTGATGTTTGACTTCTCCCACCACAACATAGAGATGGCTTGTTCTCTGTTAGATTCCTGTGGACGATTTCTCTACAGATCTCAGGACTCCCACCACAGGACCAAAATCTACCTGGTAATAACATAGAAAAATTTGATTTATATCTCACTCTGGTAATAACATTGATAGATTTGATATATATCTCACTCTGGTAATAACATTGATGGACTTGATTTATATCTCACTCTGGTAATAACACTGAGGGATTTAATTTATATCTCACTCTGGTAATAACATTGATAGATTTGATTAATATCTCACTCTGGTAATAACACTGATAGATTTGATTTATATCTCACTCTGGTAATAACACTGATAGATTTTATTTATATCTCACCCTAAAGCATCAAGACTGATGCATGAATTAGTAAGGAAACACAAATAATGGTCTTAAGGATAGCCTAACAGGAAAGGAGAAGTAATTCTGCTGGACTGAGTAGGATGGTATGAGTGGTGTAAATAATTCTGATGTTTTTGTAGGACGTCATGATGAGGAAGAAGGCTGCTCTTCACTTAGAAAGTCGGTACACCACCATGATAGAGAATGCTTTCTACTACAGCAATCCACCCGAGACCCAGCAAACTGCCCAGAAAGTCAGGCCCCCAATGCACGAGTACATCCGTAAACTCTTGTACAAAGATCTGTCTAAAGTCACTACAGAGAAGGTGAGAATCAGCTGATTCAGTGAAACTTCACAAAGTTAATTTGATTATTTATGCAAGATGAGGTAACCTGTGATATTAAAGAGTCTTCTGTGATGTGTTAATCATTATCTCTCATGGTAATTATTTGTGATGTCTAATTTCAGGTCCTGAGACAGATGAGAAGGCTTCCATGGGACGATACAGAGGTAATTCCCAAGAACAAAATTAGCCTGAAGCTCACTCTAATTGAGGGTTAATAGATACATGTACATTGTAATACAGTTCATTAAATACATACATGTACTGTAGAATCTTTATTTTTAGTGAGTACTATATATATATGGCCTGAAATTTCTATACATGAATTCCTGAGTGGAGTATTGATCAAGAGTTCTTGCATTATTTCAGCAATATAAAAATAAAAGCGAGTAATTTGATTGTGTGTGGTTTCCTTGTAAGTAATTTCGCACTGATAAATGCATCATGTGTGTTTAGAAATCAAAAGTACAAGTATTTTGTACATTTTGATATTCAAAATGTTAAGAATGACAAGCAGTTGCTATGTAGAAGATTCATGTACTTGATCTCTTGTTTTATTCTAGATCGCATTCTATGCCACTAAGTGTATGATTGCTGTGTGGAATGTACGCTACAACTCCATTCACTGTGCTGCCAATCTATTGGCTGGTCTGGCCCCCTATCACGTGAGTATAGAGGACAATTGAATTATAAGATGTCTTCTTAGATAGTTAACAAAATATCACTACAAGTCTGTAAAATTATTTCACTTGCTACTTTGTGTTCTATATAATTAAGTTGTGGTAGCATTAATGAGTCACTGGTATTAATTATTATGTGTATTAGTAATAGAGTACACTGTGTATCACCTATTTACTGCCATACTGACAGGAACACATAGCCATCCAGGTGGTAGACGGGGTGCCTTTTAATGTATGGTGATTTGTTGATTAGTTACAGTGTACACACTATTTTACTTTTGACAGGAACACATAGCCATCCAGGTGGTAGACGGGGTGCCTTTTAATGTATGATGATTTGTTGATTAGTTACAGTGTACACACTATTTTACTTTTGACAGGAACACATAGCCATCCAGGTGGTAGACGGAGTGCCTTTTTAATGTATGATGATTTGTTGATTAGTTAAAGTGTACACACTATTTTACTTTTGACAGGAACACATAGTCATCCAGGTGGTAGACGGGGTGCCTTTTAATGTATGGTGATTTGTTGATTAGTTATAGTGTACACACTGTTTTACTTTTGACAGGAACACATAGCCATCCAGGTGGTAGACGGGGTATCTTTATATATATGATGATTTGTTGATTAGTTATAGTGTACACACTGTTTTACTTTTGACAGGAACACATAGCCATCCAGGTGGTAGACGGGGTATCTTTATATATATGATGATTTGTTGATTAGTTATAGTGTACACACTGTTTTACTTTTGACAGGAACACATAGCCATCCAGGTGGTAGACGGGGTATCTTTATATATATGATGATTTGTTGATTAGCTATAGTGACTGCGTACTCTTTATTTTACTACTGACAGGAACACATAGCCATCCAGGTGGTAGACGGAGTTCTGGAGGACATCAGACTGGGAATGGAGGTCAGTACTAAATATACAAACAGTGTATAATAATATTACAGACTACTGGGTATCCTGCAGTATTTGGTTTGTAAAAGTTAGGACTGTCACGGTTCCCTGAAATAACCAAAACCTGTGGTCCAAGTTGTTCGTTTGGTTTTGGTTCCATTTTTCCAGATTTCAGTTTGGGTCTGGTTTATATACATATTAGAATCTGTTTTATACAAAAATGGTGTGGAAATCAAAAGAATGATTATGATAACAGTGGTATATAAACATCTTCATGTGATGTCAAGACATGAACATGGTTAAAACTTGTTTTCAAGGTGAATTTTACATAACAAATAAAGATTTTAAAGTTTAATTCATGAAATTAAGGTTTGAAATAGACAAAAATAACCGAACCGAAAAACCTGAAACCAAACCAAAAATTTATAGAAACGACCCGACCTGAAAAATTTTGGAACTGTGACAGCCCTAATTAAGGTCCCTATGGTAGTTATAGAATAGTTACCTCAAGCTGCTTGTATATAGTAAAACAAGAAAACAGATTTTACTTCAAATGATATTTTGATATTGAGGAATTTTCACTTTTTTTTGAAAAAGTATTCAAATATAAGCCATGGAAAGTACTGATTTGTAACAAAATGATACAGAAAAAGTATTCAAATATAAGATACAAGAGAATAGACACAAGAAAATAGTAAGATTAGAATGATTTGCATAGTTATTTTTAGCCATGGAAAGTACTGATTTGTAACAAAATGATACAGATACATGCATATTCCAAATGATATATATAAATCAAAGAGAACACGTGAGTATATACAATTTGCAGGTGAACCACCCTAAGTATAACCAGAGGAGGGTAAGCTGTGTCAAGTATCTGGGGGAGCTGTACAATTATCGTATGGTGGAATCCGCAGTCATCTTCAAAACTCTCTACTCATTCATAACCTTTGGAGTAGTTATGGATGGTAAGGCAGAACTGAAAAACTAATCAGTCTTAAGACAATGAAAAGTGTTAATCGTAATTGTACAGTTACAAGTTAGATGAGTAAATGCCCAAACTGAGACAATAAATTGTATCTATTTTGATACATTGCAAGTATACTTCCTTGTTTATAATTCAAAAATCTTGTTTAAATTCTAGCAAATCCATTCTCACACCATTAAAACAAAGAGTCATGAGATGATTATGTACATATATATGTAACTCCCAAATATATACAGTCATGTACATGTTTTTAATTTCTATAATTATGCCCCGCCATGAATATGGCCGGGGCATATAGTGTTTGTCATGTCCGTCTACCGTCCTTCCGTCCTTCTGTCCTTCCGTCTGTCCTTCCGTCACACTTTGCGTTTAGCTCTGTTCAAAGCTCAGTTTCAAAGAAACTATCCAAGATATTTTTATCAAACTTCATATGCTGATAGATATTGATGAGGGCTATGCAACTGCATCAACATTTTTTTACCTTGACCTTTCCTTTGACCTTGACCTCACTTTTCTTAAATTAGTGTTTAGCTCAGTTTTAAAGATACCATTCAAGATAGTGTAATGAAACTTCATATGTTGATACCTACTGACGTAAGCTATTCAACTGCATCAACATTTTTTGACCTTGACCTTTCTTTTGACCTTGACCTCACTTTTCTTAAATTAGTGTTTAGCTCAGTTTTAAAGATACCATTCAAGAAAGTGTAATCAAACTTCATATGTTGATACATACTGATGTATGCTATTCAATTGCATCAACATTTTTTTGACCTTGACCTTTATTTTGACCTTGACCTCACTTTCCTTAAATTAGTGTTAAGCTCAGTTTTAATGAAACCATTCAAGATATTTTTAACAAACTTCATATCCTGATACATACTGATGTAACTTTTTCAACTGCATCAACATTTTTTGACCTTGACCTTTCCTCTGACCTTAAACTCACTTTTCTTAAATTAGTGTCAAACTTCATATGGTGATACATACCGATAAGAGCTATTCAACTGCATCAATATATTTTGACCTTGACCTTTCCTCTGACCTTGACCTCACTTTTCTTAAATTAGTGTCAAACTTCATATGCTGATACATACCGATGAGAGCTATTCAACTGCATCAATGTTTTTTGACCTTTACCTTTCCTTTGACCTTGACCTCACTTTTCTCAATTTGTGTTAAAATGTTGCATTACTAATATACCCTCGACGGGGCATTCATGTCCTATGGACATTTTTCTAGTTTTAATTTATAAATCATGTATATGTTCACTCTTTCTTCAGAGACTAACCCGTCCCCATTAGATCCACCAGAACACTTGTTCAGGATCCGTCTGGTTTGTGTGCTGTTGGAGACCTGTGGTACATACTTCGACAAAGGGTCCAGTAAGAAGAAACTGGATTGTTTCCTTGCATACTTCCAGGTAAGAAACTGGATTGTTTACTTGCCCCCTTCCAAGCAGTTCCTCACTTCTCTTTAGAACTTTCCATCAATTACAGTTGTTTTCAGATCTGTTTAGAACTACAAAAGTGATTAGATTATTCAAACCTTCTTGTTAATTCTCAATCTCTATCTCAAATCAGCATAGAAATTTATATAATTATGTAAATTTTTTCCTATTATGATAGCGTTACTACTGGTTTAAGAGAAGCAGTACTATCTACATGGAGAGTAGACCGTTTCCGGTGGACGTGGAAAATCTGATGATTGACACGATGGAGTGTGTACGACCCAAACTGAAGCTCCAGCAGAATTACGAGGAGGCGTGTAAAGCTGTAGAAGACTTAGAGAATGAGTACAAACAGAAAGTAGGTAAGTGTAACAAAAAACTCCAGCAGAACTACGAGGAGGCGTGTAAAGCTGTAGAAGAGTTAGAGAATGAGTACAAACAGAAAGTAGGTCAGTGTAACAAAAAACTCCAGCAGAACTACGAGGAGGCGTGTAAAGCTGTAGAAGAGTTAGAGAATGAGTACAAACAGAAAGTAGGTCAGTTTAACAAAAAACTCCAGCAGAACTACGAGGAGGCGTGTAAAGCTGTAAAAGAGTTGGAGAACGAGTACAAACAGAAAGTAGGTCAGTGTAACAAAAAACTCCAGCAGAACTATGAGGAGGCGTTTAAAGCTGTAGAAGAGTTAGAGAACGAGTACAAACAGAAAGTAGGTCAGTGTAACAAAAAACTCCAGCAGAACTACGAGGAGGCGTGTAAATCTGTAGAAGAGTTAGAGACTGAGTACAAACAGAAAGTAGGTCAGTGTAACAAAAAACTCCAGCAGAACTACTAGGAGGCGTGTAAAGCTGTAGAAGACTTAGAGAATGAGTACAAACAGAAAGTAGGTCAGTGTAACAAAAAACTCCAGCAGAACTATGAGGAGGCGTTTAAAGCTGTAGAAGACTTAGAGAATGAGTACAAACAGAAAGTAGGTAAGTGTAACAAAAAACTCCAGCAGAACTACTAGGAGGCGTGTAAAGCTAGAATGAGTACAAACAAAAAGTAGGTAAATGTAACAAAAAACTCCAGCAGAACTACGAGGAGGTGTGTAAAGCTGTAGAAGAATTAGAGAATGAGTACAAACAGAAAGTAGGTCAGTATAACACAGAGCTTGGGAAGAGAGGTTACACATAGTATGAAGGTAGGGGTAAATATAAGCATGATAAACTTTATCGTATCTTTGACAGAATATACGTAAAGATCTAGGTCAGTCATCTGAAAATAAAATGTAAAACAACTATGAAATGTCTTGTGTTCTAAGTCACTGTGGAAAAATAGAGAAAAACAAATCAAAAATGAAAGTAAGAAATCTGAAATTCAATTGAAATACTGTAATTGTTCCGTTTTCTAAAAAAATAGGTTTCTCAGAGAAAAATAACTGCCAAATTGTCTACCAACCATGTAAATGAAGATCAGAAATGGACACATGAAATTTTAAGGCTGTATGATGTCTATGTTTGTGATGAAAACAGATTGACCCTTACAACTACATTTTAATATTTCAGCCTCGGTGTTGACGATTATAGAAACAGACCAAGAGGGGAGTGCCAGTGAGACAGAGGAGGGACTGGGGACCATACAGGAGATGGAGGAGTATGGTAAGAATGACAAAAGTCCTATAAAGTTCTGCTGGGTCCTTGTTTAAATTCAACTCTGATTCAGTACATGTACAATATGTGGATTGTTCTGTTCAGCTCGGATTCAATACTTCATTACTAGTCACTGTTTTTATTTGAAGGTGAGGATCTAAGTTTGAGTGGAGTGGACGAGAGTGAAACAAGTCAGGAGGACACCAGCCAAAGGAGCAATAATGAAGAGGTGAGAAATTCAGCAACATTAACACCAGGCTTCTGTCAATGGGTCACAGAAATGCTGTTGAGGAGTAGAAAGAGGAATTATTCCTTTTACCTTTAGTTATTGTGGTTTTTTTTACTTTACTTTTATAAATCTGGTAGAAAAATTGCTCAAGGGTTCTAACTCTGAAATAAAGTACAGCATCTCAATGTACCTGATATTAAGTATGCTTAACATAAACATGATATAAGAACATTTTTTTCACTCAATGGAAATCCCTGAAATATATGATAATACATTATAAGCTGCATAAATTTTACTCTTTATGTAGGAAATTCTTCTTGAAAAGAGACAATTCTTATGGATATTTGTGAAAGGCAGTAAAATTGTTAACATATATTTATATACACCTGTAGTATGAAATGGTTTTACAGGGAGAAGAGGAGGGAGGAGTCAGTTATAATGAAGAAGATGATGATGTCATGGAGAGTGCTGGGGAAAATGAAGAGGACGATCAGGTGAGAAAGTACAAAGTGAAAGTACAACATACTTTTTAATTATAGACTGAAATAAAGAACTGAGAAGTGAGTTTTGGCATTTATGAGGAGAATTAATATGTTGACCGTGCGACTGTTGGGGCGAGGACAGTTGTGTATTGCTGGATACTTATTCACTTTTAATATTTAAATCTGCCTCTTCATTTGGATCAGTATCTAGACTGTGATGTCACATGACATCATATGATAGTAATGTATTTCCATAACTGTCTGTTAAGTGCAAATTTTTAGCAAAAAACATTTATTCTACTATTTATATGCATGCAATATCCATTAATAAATCAACTTGAAGGTGAGTTTATTTTTTTGGTGAACTTTTGTTGTTACAAGGAGAATGTAGTTTGCAGCAAGATGCATTTGTGTTGCATTGTGGGTCTAGAGGTTACTGCAGAAAAAAATTATTGAAATCAATGTGCTTAGTCCCAATTTTCTATTTGTCCAGGCATTGCTTTAATAGATGGCAGTGTCAAGTGACACTTTGTGCTTTTCTCTGTGCTCTCTGTTAAATCTCAGTAAAAAAAAGTAAGACTGACTTTAAGATATTGCATCGGTTTTCTTAAATTTTAAATTCATTTTTGTTTTACCTACAGAACAAATGGGTCACTGTCCATTATATTTTCATCTTTTGGGGAAAATTTTAATTCTCACAAAAAGGTTATATTTTCTGAACACTTGTTTGGGAATCACTATGTGGACTTCATTGTCATTATTTTGTAGATGACAATTATGAAAGGTGGCCCTAAGCACATCAAGTGTACTGAAGATGAGGATTTTATGACAGCTTTTGACAAAATGATGTCCGAGAATATTCAGGTAAGCCTGTCTGATGATTGACTCATAATGGAATATATTCCACGTTGCCACGATTCCATAAAGAGGCACAAAATTCACACATTTCTCCAAACATTTACAAATTTTCAATTCAATTCAATTCAGTTTATTGACATCACCATGTTGGCATACAGTCAAAATAAGACAGATAACAAAAACATTTTAATGATCTTGGTGAGAAATTTCTTTCATTTGACCATGGCTTAAAATCAACACGTTTTTTCCCTTTTATTTGGTGGCATGGAGAGCATGTGTTAACCATCTCTGATTTTAAGATTTTTTGATTGTCTCAGAGAATAAAAATAATACTTTGCAAAAAACAAATTATTCTAAAGCTGTCAGTAGGGTACAGTCCACTAATACATTTCCCATAGGTGGCAATGATAACGTTTTCTCACACAGCTCCTCCCCTAATTTTCATTGAAGGATGGGACACCCCTCAAATGAAAGCTCGTCAAATTCTCTCTCACTGGTTAAAATTTTGAGGTGGCATGTCAGATTCGTTTTCAGGCAAAATGCACATGTTCGCAGAAACATCTGAAAATTAAAGTACAAGTAGGGTAATTCCCAAAGTCAGGGTATGCACATATCAAACAATTCAATTCCTTCCCTTTCAAAGTTAACACAAAAATGAAAATGGTTTTGAATGTGGAATTTTTTCTTCTTTCATATATATCAAGCATCTTTAGTTCAGATGACCTACTTATTTTATATACTGCTTGAAAGTTAGGGAACTATTCCATTTTAGTGAACTACTTTCTTCCCCTACTGATTTTAAAAATAATTAGAGGTATGTACCCAATGCCAAATACTAGAGATGAATTTTGCAATATATTCCATTTTCTGTTTTTCTTTTTTAGGCACGTACAAATGAGTCTCTAAAAGTCCCTCAGTTGGATATCGCTGTCCCGATGAATCTGAAAGACAAGAACAAGAAAATAGGTATGAAGAGATTGAAAAGAAAACTACAATGAAAGTGACAGGACTGATGAAGTTTTGTGCAATGTTTTTTTCTCATGCATGTGTGCTCTATGAGATTTATTTGATCCTGCAAATGGTTTAGTGAATTGCATATTGAAGCAGTGTTAATCAAATTCAATATACTGTACATATTCATGTAGACTAATTTGTGATTTTTCAGTAAACGTGAATCTGTATTCAATGCAAGAAGAGGAAGTGCCTAAAGAAGAAGACAGGTCAATAGAATTTGTGTTGATGACGAGACGAGGGAACAAACAACAGGTACATGTGTCTATATAAAAGTGACATTACTGTATCATACTTCAATAGTAATCAGATTTTTGAAATTTAAATTTGTGTTCAAAACTCTGTGTCCAACTTATGAGAGAGTCCTCATGCATCATTGACAAAAGTTGGAACATACGTGTATTAGTTATATTCTTCACATGGGAAAGGGACATCTAAGGTTACTATGGGCATAAAGTACAAGTTATTACAAAAGTTATTACTTTAATGATTTAAAATTTGTTTATAATGTATATTGTTTATTGTTTATATTGTTTACATAACAATAAAAGATAATATATTTATTCCATACCCCAAAACACTTCGAAATACAGGTAAATACAATAAAATATTGACCTGAAATTACACAAGATTAAGATTTACATTCAATTGTATTTTCATGCCTTATTTCTTTGTTTTGTTTAGTTCACCAATCTCAATGTTCCGATATCTGAGGAGTTTGCCACAAAGTACAGAGAAAGAGAACAGGTCATTCTTACAATTTACAATTCAATTATAAAAATTCATTTTCCTTAAATCAACTCCCAAAAGATTCTCTGTTAAAAGAATTAAAATTTTAGGATTATTGTTTTATTGACAGGCAGAATTGTGTGACAAGAGGATTAGTGTTGTATTGACAGATCTAACTGTGACATTTCACAAGACGATTAATGTTGTATTGACAGATCTAACTGTGACATTTTACAAATGGATTTATGTTGTATTGACAGATCTAACTGTGACATTGTACAGATGGATTAATGTTGTATTGACAGATCTAACTGTGACATTTTACAAATGGATTTATGTTGTATTTACAGATCTAACTGTGACATTTTACAAATGGATTAATGTTGTATTGACAGATGTAACTGTGACATTTCACAGATGGATTAATGTTGTATTGACAGATGTAACTGTGACATTTCACAGATGGATTAATGTTGTATTGACATATGTATCTGTGACATTTCACAGATGGATTAATGTTGTATTGCTAGGTATAGCTGTCTGACATTTTGAATTAATTTATTGATTACAGGCAGAGAAAGCAGAGAAGGAGAGGATGAAGCAGGTCGTGTTGGGGATTCATGAGAGACAGGAGGAAGAGGACTACCAAGGTTACTATTTATAGTTCATCATTACATGTATACAGCATTTACTTTCAGTTTAAGGTTACTATTTATAGTTCATCATGACATATATACAGCATTTACTTTCAAGACTGCACAACATTTCAATGAAAGTAGAACATGGAAACTAGAAGTATTAATTCTCAAAATGATAATTAAGGTCTTTATCAGGCTGGTTGTAAGTGAGTGTGTTTTCTTTATCAGGCTGGTTGTAAGTGAGTGTGTTTTCTTTATCAGGCTGGTCGTGAGTGTGTTTTCTTTATCAGGCTGGTTGTAAGTGAGTGTGTTGTCTTTATCAGGCTGGTTGTAAGTGAGTGTGTTTTCTTTATCAGGCTGGTCGTGAGTGTGTTTTCTTTATCAGACTGGTTGTAAGTGAGTGTGTTTTCTTTATCAGGCTGGTCGTGAGTGTGTTTTCTTTATCAGGCTGGTTGTACGTGAGTGTGTTTTCTTTATCAGCCTGGTTGTAAGTGAGTGTGTTTTCTTTATCAGGCTGGTTGTAAGTGAGAGTGTTTTCTTTATCAGGCTGGTTGTAAGTGATTGCGTTTTCTTTATCAGGCTGGTTGTAAGTGAGTGTGTTTTCTTTATCAGGTTGGTTGTAAGTGAGTGTGTTTTCTTTATCAGGCTGTTTGTAAGTGAGTGTGTTTTCTTTATCAGGCTGGTTGTAAGTGAGTGTGTTTTCTTTTTCAGGCTGGTTGTAAGTGAGTGTGTTTTCTTTTTCAGGCTGGTTGTAAGTGAGTGTTTTATTAATCAGGCTGGTTATAAGTGAGTGTGTTTTCTTTATCAGGCTGGTCGTGAGTGTGTTTTCTTTATCAGGCTGGTTGTAAGTGAGTGCGTTATCTTTATCAGGCTGGTTGTAAGTGAGTGTGTTTTCTTTATCAGGCTGGTTGTAAGTGAGTGTGTTTTCTTTATCAGGCTGGTTGTAAGTGAGTGCATTTTCTATATCAGGCTGGTTGTAAGTGAGTGTGTTTTCTTTATCAGGCTGGTTGTAAGTGAATGTGTTTTCTTTCTCAGGCTGGTTGTAAGTGAGTGTGTTTTCTTTATCAGGCTGGTTGTAAGTGAGTGTGTTTTCTTTTTCAGGCTGGTTGTAAGTGAGTGTGTTTTCTTTATCAGGCTGGTTGTAAGTGAGTGTGTTTTCTTTTTCAGGCTGGTTGTAAGTGAGTGTTTTATTAATCAGGCTGGTTATAAGTGAGTGTGTTTTCTTTATCAGGCTGGTCGTGAGTGTGTTTTCTTTATCAGGCTGGTTGTAAGTGAGTGTGTTATCTTTATCAGGCTGGTTGTAAGTGAGTGTGTTTTCTTTTTCAGGCTGGTTGTAAGTGAGTCTTTTTTCTTTATCAGGCTGGTTGTAAGTGAGTGCATTTTCTTTATCAGGCTGGTTGTAAGTGAGTGTGTTTTCTTTATCAGGCTGGTTGTAAGTGAGTGCATTTTCTTTATCAGGCTGGTTGTAAGTGAGTATGTTTTCTTTATCAGGCTGGTTGTAAGTGAGTGTGTTTTCTTTATCAGGCTGGTTGTAAGTGAGTGTGTTTTCTTTTTCAGGCTGGTTGTAAGTGAGTGTTTTATTAATCAGGCTGGTTATAAGTGAGTGTGTTTTCTTTATCAGGCTGGTCGTGAGTGTGTTTTCTTTATCAGGCTGGTTGTAAGTGAGTGTGTTATCTTTATCAGGCTGGTTGTAAGTGAGTGCATTTTCTTTATCAGGCTGGTTGTAAGTGAGTATGTTTTCTTTATCAGGCTGGTTGTAAGTGAGTGTGTTTTCTTTATCAGGCTGGTTGTAAGTGAGAGTGTTTTTAGCTCACCTGAGCTGAAAGCTCAAGTGAGCTTTTCTGATCACATTTTGTCCGTAGTCCGTCTGTCCGTCCGTCCGTCCGTCTGTAAACTTTTCACATTTTCGACTTCTTCTCCAGAACCACTGGGCCATTTTCAACCAAATTTGCCACAAAGCATCCTTGAAAGAAGGGGGTTCAAGTTTGTTCAAATGAAGGGCCATGCCCTCTTCCAAGGGGAGATAATTAAGAATAAGTGAAAATTTGGTGTCTTTTTTTAAAAATCTTCTTCTCAAGAACCATTGGGCCAGAGAAGTTGAAACTTATGGGAAACCTTCATTACATAGTGTAGATTCAAGTTTGTTCAAATCATGACCCCCGGGGGTCGGGTGGGGCCACAATGGGGGATCAAAGTTTTACATAGGAATATATAGGAAAATTCTTTAAAAATCTTCTTCTCAAGAACAACAAAGCCACAATTAGTCATATTGATATGAAATCATCCTCAGGTAGTGTAGATTTAAATTTGTTCAAATCATGACCCCCGGGGGTAGGGTGGGGCCACAATGGGGGATCAAAGTTTTACATAGGAATACATAGGAAAATTCTTTAAAAATCTTCTTCTCAAGAACAGCAAAGCCATGATTTGTCATATTGATATGAAATCATCCTCAGGTAGTGTAGATTTAAGTTTGTTCAAATCATGACCCCCGGGGGTACGGTGGGGCCACAATGGGGGATCAAAGTTTTACATAGGAATACATAGGAAAATTCTTTAAAAATCTTCTTCTCAAGAACAGCAAAGCCATGATTTGTCATATTGATATGAAATCATCCTCAGGTAGTGTAGATTTAAGTTTGTTCAAATCATGACCCCCGGGGGTAGGGTGGGGCCACAATGGGGGATCAAAGTTTTACATAGGAATACATAGGAAAATTCTTTAAAAATCTTCTTCTCAAGAACAACAAAGCCACAATTAGTCATATTGATATGAAATCATCCTCAGGTAATGTAGATTCAAGTTTGTTCAAATCATGACCCCCGGGGGTAGGGTGGGGTCACAATGGGAGATCAAAGTTTTACATAGGAATACATAGGAAAATTCTTTAAAAATCTTCTTCTCAAGAACAACAAAGCCACAATTAGTCATATTGATATGAAATCATCCTCAGGTAGTGTAGATTTAAGTTTGTTCAAATCATGACCCCCGGGGGTAGGGTGGGGTCACAATAGGGGATCAAAGTTTTACATAGGAATATATAGGAAAATTCTTTAAAAATCTTTTTCTCAAGAACAACAAAGCCACAATTAGTCATTTTGATATGGAATCATCCTCAGGTAGTGTAGATTCAAGTTTGTTCAAATCATGACCCCCGGGGGTAGGGTGGAGCCACAATGGGGGATCAAAGTTTTACATAGGAATACATAGGAAAATTCTTTAAAAATTTTCTTCTCAAGAACAACAAAGCCACAATTAGTCATATTGATATGAAATCATCCTCAGGTAGTGTAGATTTAAGTTTGTTCAAATCATGACCCCCGGGGGTAGGGTGGGGTCACAATAGGGGATCAAAGTTTTACATAGGAATATATAGGAAAATTCTTTAAAAATCTTTTTCTCAAGAACAACAAAGCCACAATTAGTCATTTTGATATGGAATCATCCTCAGGTAGTGTAGATTCAAGTTTGTTCAAATCATGACCCCCGGGGGTAGGGTGGAGCCACAATGGGGGATCAAAGTTTTACATAGGATTATATATAGGAAAATTCTTTAAAAATTTTCTTCTCAAGAACAACAAAGCCACAATTAGTCATATTGATATGGAATCATCCTTAGGTAGTGTAGATTCAAATTTGTCGAAATCAAGACCCCCGGGGGTAGGGTGGGTCCACAATGGGGGATCAAAGTTTTACATAGGAATAAATAGGAAAAATCTTTTAAAATCTTTTCAAGAACAGGAAAGCCGTGATTAGTCATTTTGATATTGAAGCATCCCCAAGTATTGTAGATTCAAGTTTGTTCAAGGCATCCTCCAGTAGTAGGGTGGGGCCATAATCGGGGATCAAAGTTTAACAAAAGAATATATATAAGAAATATCTTAAAAAATCTTCTTCTCAAGAACAACAAAGCCATAATTAGTCATATTGATATGGAAGCATCCTTAGGTAGTGTAGATTTAAATTTGTTCAAATCATGACCCCCGGGGGTAGGGTGGGGCCACAATGGGGGATCAAAGTTTTACATAGGAATACATAGGAAAATTCTTTAAAAATCTTCTTCTCAAGAACAGCAAAGCCATGATTTGTCATATTGATATGAAATCATCCTCAGGTAGTGTAGATTTAAGTTTGTTCAAATCATGACCCCCGGGGGTACGGTGGGGCCACAATGGGGGATCAAAGTTTTACATAGGAATACATAGGAAAATTCTTTAAAAATCTTCTTCTCAAGAACAGCAAAGCCATGATTTGTCATATTGATATGAAATCATCCTCAGGTAGTGTAGATTTAAGTTTGTTCAAATCATGACCCCCGGGGGTAGGGTGGGGCCACAATGGGGGATCAAAGTTTTACATAGGAATACATAGGAAAATTCTTTAAAAATCTTCTTCTCAAGAACAACAAAGCCACAATTAGTCATATTGATATGAAATCATCCTCAGGTAATGTAGATTCAAGTTTGTTCAAATCATGACCCCCGGGGGTAGGGTGGGGTCACAATGGGAGATCAAAGTTTTACATAGGAATACATAGGAAAATTCTTTAAAAATCTTCTTCTCAAGAACAACAAAGCCACAATTAGTCATATTGATATGAAATCATCCTCAGGTAGTGTAGATTTAAGTTTGTTCAAATCATGACCCCCGGGGGTAGGGTGGGGTCACAATAGGGGATCAAAGTTTTACATAGGAATATATAGGAAAATTCTTTAAAAATCTTTTTCTCAAGAACAACAAAGCCACAATTAGTCATTTTGATATGGAATCATCCTCAGGTAGTGTAGATTCAAGTTTGTTCAAATCATGACCCCCGGGGGTAGGGTGGAGCCACAATGGGGGATCAAAGTTTTACATAGGAATACATAGGAAAATTCTTTAAAAATTTTCTTCTCAAGAACAACAAAGCCACAATTAGTCATATTGATATGAAATCATCCTCAGGTAGTGTAGATTTAAGTTTGTTCAAATCATGACCCCCGGGGGTAGGGTGGGGTCACAATAGGGGATCAAAGTTTTACATAGGAATATATAGGAAAATTCTTTAAAAATCTTTTTCTCAAGAACAACAAAGCCACAATTAGTCATTTTGATATGGAATCATCCTCAGGTAGTGTAGATTCAAGTTTGTTCAAATCATGACCCCCGGGGGTAGGGTGGAGCCACAATGGGGGATCAAAGTTTTACATAGGAATATATAGGAAAATTCTTTAAAAATTTTCTTCTCAAGAACAACAAAGCCACAATTAGTCATATTGATATGGAATCATCCTTAGGTAGTGTAGATTCAAATTTGTCGAAATCAAGACCCCCGGGGGTAGGGTGGGTCCACAATGGGGGATCAAAGTTTTACATAGGAATAAATAGGAAAAATCTTTTAAAATCTTTTCAAGAACAGGAAAGCCGTGATTAGTCATTTTGATATTGAAGCATCCCCAAGTATTGTAGATTCAAGTTTGTTCAAGGCATCCTCCAGTAGTAGGGTGGGGCCATAATCGGGGATCAAAGTTTAACAAAAGAATATATATAAGAAATATCTTAAAAAATCTTCTTCTCAAGAACAACAAAGCCATAATTAGTCATATTGATATGGAAGCATCCTTAGGTAGTGTAGATTTAAATTTGTTCAAATCATGACCCCCGGGGGTAGGGTGGGGCCACAATGGGGGATCAAAGTTTTACATAGGAATACATAGGAAAATTCTTTAAAAATCTTCTTCTCAAGAACAGCAAAGCCATGATTTGTCATATTGATATGAAATCATCCTCAGGTAGTGTAGATTTAAGTTTGTTCAAATCATGACCCCCGGGGGTACGGTGGGGCCACAATGGGGGATCAAAGTTTTACATAGGAATACATAGGAAAATTCTTTAAAAATCTTCTTCTCAAGAACAGCAAAGCCATGATTTGTCATATTGATATGAAATCATCCTCAGGTAGTGTAGATTTAAGTTTGTTCAAATCATGACCCCCGGGGGTAGGGTGGGGCCACAATGGGAGATCAAAGTTTTACATAGGAATACATAGGAAAATTCTTTAAAAATCTTCTTCTCAAGAACAACAAAGCCACAATTAGTCATATTGATATGAAATCATCCTCAGGTAGTGTAGATTTAAGTTTGTTCAAATCATGACCCCCGGGGGTAGGGTGGGGTCACAATAGGGGATCAAAGTTTTACATAGGAATATATAGGAAAATTCTTTAAAAATCTTTTTCTCAAGAACAACAAAGCCACAATTAGTCATTTTGATATGGAATCATCCTCAGGTAGTGTAGATTCAAGTTTGTTCAAATCATGACCCCCGGGGGTAGGGTGGAGCCACAATGGGGGATCAAAGTTTTACATAGGAATACATAGGAAAATTCTTTAAAAATTTTCTTCTCAAGAACAACAAAGCCACAATTAGTCATATTGATATGAAATCATCCTCAGGTAGTGTAGATTTAAGTTTGTTCAAATCATGACCCCCGGGGGTAGGGTGGGGTCACAATAGGGGATCAAAGTTTTACATAGGAATATATAGGAAAATTCTTTAAAAATCTTTTTCTCAAGAACAACAAAGCCACAATTAGTCATTTTGATATGGAATCATCCTCAGGTAGTGTAGATTCAAGTTTGTTCAAATCATGACCCCCGGGGGTAGGGTGGAGCCACAATGGGGGATCAAAGTTTTACATAGGAATATATAGGAAAATTCTTTAAAAATTTTCTTCTCAAGAACAACAAAGCCACAATTAGTCATATTGATATGGAATCATCCTTAGGTAGTGTAGATTCAAATTTGTCGAAATCAAGACCCCCGGGGGTAGGGTGGGTCCACAATGGGGGATCAAAGTTTTACATAGGAATAAATAGGAAAAATCTTTTAAAATCTTTTCAAGAACAGGAAAGCCGTGATTAGTCATTTTGATATTGAAGCATCCCCAAGTATTGTAGATTCAAGTTTGTTCAAGGCATCCTCCAGTAGTAGGGTGGGGCCATAATCGGGGATCAAAGTTTAACAAAAGAATATATATAAGAAATATCTTAAAAAATCTTCTTCTCAAGAACAACAAAGCCATAATTAGTCATATTGATATGGAAGCATCCTTAGGTAGTGTATATTCAAGTTTGTTCAAATCTTGAACCCCCCCTCCCTTCCTTCCCCCCAGGGTAGGATGGCAGACATCTTTAAAATTCCGTTTCAAGAACAGCAAAACCATGATTAGTTATATGAATATAGAAGCATCCTCAGAAAGTTTAGATTCAATTTCATTCAAAACATGGCAAATGGGGATAGGTTATGCCTAGAACAGTTGATCAAAGCTTTACGTATGAATATATAGAAGAAGAAATCTGCTGACAAAGAACAGCAGGGCCATATTGACTCAGGTGAGCGTTGTGGCCCATGGGCCTCTTGTCTTTATCAGGCTGGTTGTAAGTGAGTGTGTTTTCTTTATCAGGCTGGTTGTAAGTGAGTGTGTTTTCTTTATCAGGCTGGTTGTAAGTGAGTGTGTTTTCTTTATCAGGCTGGTTGTAAGTGAGTGTGTTTTCTTTATCAGGCTGGTTGTAAGTGAGTGTGTTTTCTTTATCAGGTTGGTTGTAAGTGAGTGTGTTTTCTTTTGTTACAGAGATGATAGCCTCCCTGAATCGTGTAATGCCGGTCAATACTAACAGAGAGAGAAGAGTGCGCTACCAGCATCCTAAAGGGGCCCCCGACGCTGATCTAATCTTTGGATCCAAGTAAGAGGACCTATCGTGTCGACCGAAGAAGAGCATGCATTCTAGTGAATATCAGATAAATGATCCTTAATTCTTAAAACAAAGTGTGCCAATAAGTGATTGAATTTGAATCATTTAATTGGAAAAAATCTAAAAATATATTCATTTATATCAATTATTTAATTTTTTTCATAGGAAGAGATGATGAAGAATGAAAGTGAGAGAGAGCCCTTTCCCAAAACAGGGTCATGTCATACCAGTGAAATCAAGTCCGAAGCCGTAGTCAAACACTGGGATAAAAAGTTACAGGGGACTTAACTCTGGCATTGATCTGTTGAAAACAATTAATGTACAATACAGTGATTGGTGATTTACTGGGGTGGAACACATGGATGAGATAAATCATTATTTTTTTGTTGTGGTGGGAAATGTGTAGATTCACAATGTCTGGTCAATCCATTATAGAGTGCTTTACACATTATACATTACATGTATGTACACTGCTGTTAGTCTCTACTTTTTACAACTTTCTGTGGCCCTAGCTGTTATAAATTTACACATCCCTCGTGACTATTTTACTATTAAAGCAAAAAAATATATATTTATTTAGAATATGTTACTCAGGATGACTTAACAATACCAGCCATATAGAAGATATACATGTATCATCTGAGAATTCAATGGATTTTTTGAAATACTTTTTTAGAATTGGACATCAAATTAATTTTTTCCTTTAGATCTGTCTCAAATTGCAATATATTTAATTTTTAAGAGGGAATTCTGATTCTATATACATGTATTTATAAATGATGCAGACATGAATTTTTCCTCAAAAAGAATTTTGTGATGTTTTATTGTTCTAGTGCTGTTAGATCTTTTGAAAGATTGCACGTTGTATTTGCTTTCATTGTTAGTTGTGTGTGTGTGTGTGTAAGGTACCAGGTATTGTTTTGTTAGTATCTCATTACATAAAATGTATCCTAAGTTTTGATTCTAATTGGATAAGTAAAAATATTTGTTGGTAAGTAAGGAAATGTACAAAGAAAACTCATGGAATGTTCTTTACCATTTTGATGAATGAATAAAAGGGAGAAGTTGGACAAAAATTTATGTCTTTTTCATACAGACAGAAGATTGAATTTGTTCATTTTTATGGCCCCTAGAGTAAGATTTGGTCACAACTGGGAATCAGAAATTTTACATGAAGAGGTGCTTGGGTCAAGGATAATGTATTTCTTGCATTATTACAAGTGTTAGAGGCTTGTCAAGTGTGAGATTTTTCTGTCGCACACTGTATAAATAAGCCATAAACAGTTCTAAAAACGTAAACTTATGCGGTATAAATAAATAAGGACAAGTTCTTACAGATGCAAACTGTTTAGCATGCTGGTGCATGTGAAAATTGGCTTTTTCCCGTAGCATCCGATTTAACCTTGCTAAGGTATTTTCAGCGTGGACCTCAATAAGTCTAAGAATGGTCAGCTGTTAATTTGCATACTAATATTATACATGAGGCCAAAATAAAAAATAGGGTTGTTTCCCCTAACGCGACCGACCCACTTAAATCGTGCCAACTGAAAAGTTTTTTTTAATAAGATTATTCAAATATTTATTTTTATTGTTTATCAACTTTATAAAACACAATTTCATTAAAATTCGTTTTTTATCAGAACGGCGGCTTTTGTTTTACTCTCATTTGGCGCCCACGACATGTGGCCACAGAGGGTTATTTAGTGTTATAAAACAACGGCGATGTATCGATCAATCTTAATATATATCTTTAACTTATTGGAATCCTACACTCTTGAAACATTTCGTGAATTAAATATACCATGACTAAGGAGTGTTAAGATGGTATTTACAAATGTGTCTTCTAAAATTAAATTGTATACGTTGTAAGCATGACAAAGCCTGCCTCATGAGCAGAAGAGGGGCCAAATTTGTGTATGCATATCAATAAATTTCACTCCATTTCATTCGTTTCGATCTAAAAAACACTTCATGTATGATTCTATTTTTACTATATAGGACCATAGGATTTGTAAATATATCTTTGTATTATCATTTCATCTTGAATATAATTTGAATGCCGTTTCTTCATTCTTTTTATTTATGGGGTAAACTTCGTGACTATAACATTAGATATATGAAACTTTAATCATTTTTGATATGGTTTGGTTGAATTAAATATTGTTTATACAGGTACTCTCTTTTCAGATAGTGTTGAAATCTTGAAAGTTGGCTTATGGTACGGCTTCCTGAGACGTCCATGCAGTGTATTTTTCTTTTCTTTAGTTGGGTCCTTGAAAATAGGTTGTTTCTTTACTTTAAAATACCTTTAAAAATTGCTGGGTCGACATTTGAACACCTGCCTGGTGGAGGGCTCCTAATTTAGACTTTTTCTCGGCACTTATGGCCATTGATCATAAAGCATCAGTAAGGGATCTTTATCGTGCCAACATCTACATGTATACTGTGACACTACATGGCCCTACGTTTTTTTTACGGTCTCATTTGACTGACTAGTTTCCACGCCCCACGTCGGGACCTGTGACTTAGAATAAGCTCCTGAATTACGTCGTGACTTCAAAACGAAACACTAGAATTACTTCGCCACGGAAGGCCCTTGACATTTTATCTGTGTAAGCACTCGAAGATGATAGTAGGTTCGAAAAAAAAGTATACTCGGATGGCTGATGGTTGAGTATTTGCGAATCTTATCTTTTTGTAAAAATTCAATTTCAATAAATTTACGCTGGCCTGAGATATTTCACAAGTTCAAATGAATAATATTTTTGAATTAATTTACCATACATGTTGCTTTTAAATTTGATTGCGCCCATGACAAAAGGGCATTATGGCAATTTTGCTAAAACAGAGAAATAACGTCATAAAGATATGACGTTGCAGACGGTGAGTGTCGACGCAGATTTTTTTATCCACGTGTTTTACGTTTTGACACGTCTTGCTCACTTTTGTCATTGAAATAATTATTTTCATTTATATCTTTAATTCACGTCTTGATCTTCTGGTCCACTGATATTAATTATTTAAAATATTTAGAATTTTATTCGAGACCCGTTTCTTTACTATATGTTATTGTAGCTTTATACGTCTCTGATCTGGGCTATGCATTTCCTATACATGTATAGAAGCTTCAGACTAGGTGATTTTCTGGATAATTGAATATGGATGAACGAATGCGATTTTGATATATAGACAAATTGAAGTTATTTGTTAGACACGAGTATATTTTCAAAATATTGCAGAGGAAATCGTTTTCCTGTATAAGATCCACCCCACCATTCTCAACACATCGATCATGTGAACATTGAAGCATTGGTACATCGTGCATAAATTTTTGTTGTAAAATGCTTTAATTGCCAAAAATTTGAAACTGATCACACTTCTTCCAACAGAAAAGAAAAGTATTCTTGTAAGTTTTCACAAATCTAGCAAAAGTACGAACGAATGACAGACATGATATGGTAGAGAGTGATTATTTTTAAGAACTATAAATAAAAACAAGAGAGGTAACTCTGACAAGCGAGATACTAGAGAGGTACTAGAGAGGGACTTTCTTCTTTTTTTTAACACCATTCAAAATCAACATACTCATACAAATTTGCTCCCGTAGTATAAAAAATATTTTTAAAAATCTTACTTATCATCAGTTAAAAAAACGTTTTAATTGTAAGTATTATATTTATATATTCTTTAAAAGTATTTTTGAAAGCTCATGGAACTAGCTGCTATATTGAGCTGATTTTTGGTATGTGGCTTTACCTTGATTAGTTAAAGATCAAGTTTGCATTTCGTCCCACTTATTGCATACTGAAATTTCTACGGATTTTTCCGTTATTTCCCGATCATGACAAGGAGTACAAGGCGGGTGTGACCGGTCGGCAGAGGATGCTCATTCCTCCATGGCACCTGATCCCACCTCTGATGTTTTTTGGAGGTCTGTGTTTGCTCTGCTCCCGATTTGTATTGTTTGAATGGACTGCTATACATTTATTGACTGTGTTCTCGGGCAAAATGCGTTTTGTCGGACCCAAGAACCAAACTGTTTGCTTGAGGTCGTTAGGCCGAAGGCAAACAGTTTGGTTCAAGGGTCCGACAAAACGCATTTTGCCCGAGAACACAGTCAATAAATATTTTGTTATACCTTTTATTTATTTTTTGTTATACATGTATCTTTTGCTGGCTTCCATAATAACGAATGCAAATAAGATTTTGCTGATCCTGCCCACAGTGTGACGTAAGCGGTCCAATATCTCGTCCACAGGTCCAGTATCTCACTCTGCTGTCAAACATCGATTTTTTATGATCGCTCATGCAGTAAAACATTAGAAATATTAGACTTTTTAAGTATAGATTTATAAAGGAACTAATTTTTTGAAGGTATAACAATGTTCGTTGTCTCAATATTTGCAACATAATTTACTTCTTTGAGATCGGCATCACAGATTTTTAAAGTTGTGTACCAAAAATTTTAATTTTAATTAACTAGTGGTTCATCTTTGTTACAATGCGAGGACAATTCTCATATATTATAGTAATGAGAAATTCTACAGTTATATTCTAATAATGATGTTGTGTTTCTTTCCCTTTCGGTTTGTGTATTTTTCCCGGATAGAAAGATAGGTTTTTGATTTTAGGGTGGATGCTAAACATAGGAAATAACTTGGAATGGCCTTAAATTTATGTTGCTGTCTACAAAGATAAAATTTCAAAGTCATCATACATAAAGTGTTAAAAGGGGTTTCTTGATGAAAACTGTGATCTTAGTTTTTTTTTTTTTTTTTTTTGGTCAGACATTGAACTTTCAATTTTGCCCCTCATTGTATTTCCATCTCAAATCCTTTTTTTAAGTTTGGGTCTGGGTCATAATCTTTGATTTTCTTATTGGGATTATTTCATGACTATCTTTTGTACGACCTGTCTAGAATATAATATTCCGGAAAGGGAGGTCACTCTAATATTTCATCATCACGGAACACTCACGCTGACACTCTGAGAGTGATGTCTGCTGAAGTCGTTTCGGCGTTCATGGCCATCGGTCTTAGCGAACAGAAGGCAAAAGAAACTCTAAAGAATGAAACTGTTTCACAGAATCTAAAAACTGCTATAGAACAGGTAGGTTTATTAAGAGGAAGTGGATTTGTTGGAATAGTTCATCTTTGACTGTCGGTACTTCGCGTGACGCAACACTATGGTAATATAGTAGTACTTTATGACATATTACAAGTGCAAGCATATGTACAGGTAAACATTATGTTACTGGCTAGATCATAAGGCAGCGGTCAAACAAATTCATGAAAGGAATTTTTTCCCCCCAAACATTGGGCATTATAAATGCTTGATGTATTTAACATTTAACTATTAACTGGCATTAAGTATCACGTGAACACTTTTTAATTCACATCAATTTAATACAAAATGTTAACGGCATTATCCTGTTATTCGCTCTGCAGAGTGAATAATATTCGACGTTGTTGATGTTATGTTTTTTCTTCGTTTTTTCTACTTGCCTTTGAAAGAACATATTATATATTTTAGGAAATTAGCCTTTATTCTGTCGTATTTTTTAAAAGTTATAATATATATTCTAAAATCCGATTAAATGACTTTTTTGTACTTTATACTTGCCTTTGAAAGAATATATATTTTTAGAAATTAGCCTTTATTCCGTTGTAATTTTTTTACTTATCGTATATTCTTAAACCCCAATTAAATGACGTTATTTTCGTATTTTATACCTCCCTTTGAAAGAATATATATTTTAAGAAATTAGCGTTTATTTCATCGGAATTCTTTCAAACCCCGATTAAATTTCAGTACTAATCATATTGAATGAAATTTTAAATGTGAGAGAATATATAGCGTTTATTCCGTGATTTTCTTTATTTCTTTTGCATGAGGAAATAAATTTTATTAAGTTACTCTCTATATAATGTAACGGAATAAACCATTTTTTCATGAATAATTTCATGTTCATTTATCTATCAGGGAATAAAGTGTTATATATATCTTATGTTTTCATGCTTGTTTTATAACGGAATAAACCATAATTATCTTCATGTTTTATCTATTGTTTGTTTACACGTTAATTTAAAACTGAGGAAATTAATCATGTACTCAACTGTATAATATATTTTATGTTTTTTATACACCTGTAACGGAATAAAATATATTTTCCTGCCATTTCAATGATAATTTCTATTATGTAAGGAAGCCATGCATTTGCAGAGACATCGTCCTGTATATTTATGTGAATTTATGAAACACGTAATATCATTTGAACAGGGAATACATCTCTGTACATACATGACATCATTTCTTCTTTACTCTATCAGACCTTTAAATTCAATGCCATAACAATAATTAAAGAAAAATACGCTATCACATTTACTCCTAACAATAGGAACAATAACAGATGCATGAATAACGTTCACCTATGGCTCAGTTAACACTGCTAAACAATTGAGAATGACGTTTGTAAAAAATCTACTTCTGTTCATTCGCACCAGTGCGAATAAGTATAACTCTATTTTCATACATAAAATGCCTTTTTCTCAATATTAATATCCCCCCAAAAATCCAGAGAATTTTAGCTTGAAAATGGAAAGATCGTCGGTATATATATACCCCTGTTATTCGCACCGGTGCAAATAAGTATGGCCCTATGTCCTTTCATAAAATGCCAATTTTAGAGTGAATATCCCGCAAAAAAACTCCAAGCCCCATTTTTTATATACTCTCCCCCAAAGAAACCCTTTTCCCGGGAAGTCTTCCCTTTCCAGAACATTTTAGCTTTAAATTGGAAAGATTGTCGGTATATATATACTCCTGTTATTCGCACCCGTGTGAATAAGTATGGCCCTATGTCCTTGCATAAAATGCTTATGCACACAGGCAACCTTTCAAATTTCATTTGTAAATTTCTTATTTTATATTGTGTAGATAATATAACATATAAAACAACGGTTGGAATTTGTATGTTTATTATGTACATGTATTTCAGTCCTGAACTCTTGATTTCCGTTTCCTGTATTTAAAAGCACCTCCACCTATAAAACACTGAAATACTGACCTCACGTCAATCAATGGTTTTCATTTGACATAAAGTCAATAACGTCAAATATTATTCGCCCCGCAGAGTGAATAACAGCATTTTTATGAGAGAAACTCTTTTACAAACAGCATAAATATTATATATAGCTAAAATAAACAGTTTACTACATAACCAATAGCTATCAATTGAGAACACTAAGATTTACTTAGTGAATGACATTCTTCATCATTCTGCAGGCAGAGAAGATTGCTCCAGGACAGATTGACAAGGAGAATGGTAAATTGTTGTATAACATCGCTACCAAACTAAAGGCCCAGATCAAGAGCCACCAACTCATGCTGGTGGAGTACATCATCAAACGTGAAATCACCACGGAGATACAGCTTAATGGTTTGTCAAGAGTTTTCCAGAATAATAAATGTATTCCTAAGGTCCTTTTGGCTATACAGGTGAAAAATTCTAAAAGAATCTGTTCCAGCTTTTGTGTTTGCACTATACTCAAAAAGGCACATATGACATTTCTATACTTGTCCTATTAGAGATTCTTTGATAGTTTTTATGATGCATTTATATCTGTGACCTGTTAATATAAATGTCTGTGCATGACTTATTTTTTTCCAGCTGCCTTGGACTACCTGCTTCATCACCCCCTCCCTCCAGTAGACATAGAGAGGTTTGAGAAGGAGTGTGGTGTGGGGGTGGTCATCACGCCAGACCAAGTGGAGGCTGCGGTAAGAGGGACAGGAGATAGCTGTATACAGATAAATATACCCAATAAATTCATAAAAAAAACTAAAGGAATGTAATTTTAATATTGTAGAATCTCTTTGTATATACTGTAACTATAATTTTATGTGATTAATTCAAGTGAATTAAAAATACAAAATCCTTCTTCACCTTTGTTCCTCTATTATATATATTTCTAAATTATACTCTTGGTTTTCTTTAACAGGTTGAGGAAGTCATTGCAAAATACAAGAATGAGCTTTTGGAGAAGAGATATAGGTTTAACATGGGGACTCTGATGGGTACACATTTTAATCTTTAGTTCTATGAGCAGATAATTTGATTGAGATTGTTGATTTCAACTATTTATTTATAGTTTTTTCCCCGTCATTATAAGTATAAAATGTAAATGCTTTGAAATAAAAATTTTTCTTTATCATCTTAACACATGTATGTCAGTTCTAAGAATGTATAGCCATATATAGGTACTACAATTAACATCCATGCAACTCTCCTTTTTAAGGAGGTAAAAATATTGTGTGGTGATACCTACATGTATTTATCTGTCTCTGATATTAATGTTTGTGTGTTACATTTTAGGAGAGGCTAGATCCAAACTTAAGTTTGCTGATGGTAAGATTGTAAAGAATGAAGTGGACATGCAGGTGTTAGATCTACTGGGTCCAAAAACTGAGGCCGACCTAGAAAAACCAGCCAAGAAAAAGGTAAGGGATAGAGTCCTAGCTAATGGATTCTACAACCAGCTAAACAAGAAGATAAGAATTGTATTTTCTCTTGACATAATGTATCCCAAAAGTGGCTAAACAATTGATAGTCATTGTATTTAGATTACGAATGGATCCTAAATCAGCCTTGAACCTTCCAGGCAAATTTCATGAACTTTTCAAAAATGAAAGACAATAAATATTTAAATATGTTGAATTATTTAAAGCCTAAGATTTGTTTTTGAAGTACATGTTTTTGAAGGACACTTCCACCATAGATACCATGGTTACAGTGCCATGTTTTTGTTCTGTAGGTTGTTAAAGAGCAGAACAACAGTGGGACAAAGCCAGGACCCAAAAAAGAGACCCAGACTGCAGAAAGCTGTAGGTCACAAACTGAAGATATGTAACTTATAGAAAATAACTTCACTTTGAATAGAAACCCAGTCTGTAGAAAGCTGTAGGTCACACTGAAAATATGTAACACATAGAAAATAACTGTAAAAAGAGACCCAGTCTGCAGAAAGCTGTAGGTCAGATTGAAGATACATAACACATAAAAATAACTTCTCTGTAAAAAGAAACCCAGTCTGTAAAAAGCTGTAGGTCACACTGAAAATATGTAAAATATACAAATAACTTCACTATAAAAAGGAACCCAGTCTCTAGAAAGCAGTAGGTCACAATGAAATATGTGACATATAGAAAATAGCTGCAAAAAGACACCCATGTCTGTAGAAAGCTGTAGGTCATGTAAAAATTTGGCGACAAAAATATCATAATTGATCATAAAAAACTGATACAGTTCATTTTCCCTGCTCTTGTTTAATGTCATTCTGAAGTCAAATTTACATCAATACAGCACAAGATGTGCAGTATTTAATGTGAAATAAGCATAGAATTTTACTAAGGATTGGATTTAGTACTAAATGAGTTTACTGTATTTAATTTTAACACGTACCTGTTTCTATGTAACAACAATCTTCACTGAAGGTCAGTACTGAGGTTAGGAGAAATATAAACTTTTAAATCAAATTTGAAAATGAACTCTGATGACCTATGAGTCAATATTTCTTCCTTCTGTCTACAGTTGTCAGTGAAGATGGAGAGGTGAAAAGCTTTATGGAGGTGATGGGACAGGCTATGAAGTTCCACAAAACAGGTATACAATATACAGACAGGTATGCAATTAACTGAATAGGTACGCAAGTCACAAAACACGTATACAATTCACAGACAGGTATGCAATTAACTGAATAGGTACGCAAGTCACAAAACAGGGACAATGCACAGACAAACAGGCATACAGTGTTCAAACAAGTACACATACACAATTATATACAAAAAACAGGTGGTACACAATTCACAAACAGGTACACAATACACAGACAAATAGATACACAAAACAAGTACGTAGTTCACAAAACAGGCATGCAATTCACAGATAGGAACACAATTCACAGATAAATATAATACACAAAACAGGTGATACAATGCATGCAATTCAGAAACTGGTACACAATTCACAGATAAATATAAGACTACTTGAGAAAAAATATATTGAATGTGCATTTTTAGAAAGAATTTTGTAGATGAAGATAAATGTACTCTCATTTTAATTCTTTGACTGTTAAAAATCGCTTTGAAGGATTTTACTTATTTTCATTAAAAAAGTACATTTATTTTTACAGTATTGCCTGTATATAACGTCATGGCCTTTATAGGCAGTCTGTAATGTTAGGCTTTGTTTTGTAGGGGAGAATTACAAGACTGACGGGTATGTCATCACACCCAACACAATGGACCTCCTAAAGAAACACCTTAAGGAGATTGGGGGGAAGGTATGCATAGCATTATTTACTAGAGGGACTGCTACTGGAATGTCATATTTTATAGTCTGTGCTTGTAAACAATCACTTTTGGTAAAGAAACTTCAGATCAATGTAGCTATCATTAGTAACTATAAATTTCTTGTTACTCTGAGGAATGGTAGAGTTGTGTTTAACTTCTCAAAGTATATGAGTTTTTAAGATTAAATTAAGAACTGACTGGACTTGATGCAGCCTAGAAATCAATCAGCTTAGGGTTAATGTTTTGTGTACAGTATTACTGATTTTAAAATAATTTAATATTTTCAGGTTCACACTCGATTTCCTCCCGAGCCAAATGGAATCTTACACATAGGGCACGCTAAAGCAATCAACTTTAACTTCGGTTATGCCAAGGTGTGCATCATATTTCTTATTTACATGTATTTGTGTTCTTTTGAAAATTAACCATTTGTAAATTTAATTGTAGTATTCATCACAAGTTTTTGTCAGATAATAGATCTGGAAGTAGACAGCTACAATTTAACTGCCTTTTGTTTTTGCCGATACCATTTCTTAATACATGTACATGATCTAAGTAGGGTACTCTGGTCATTTTAACAATCATCCAACATTGTACAACTTACACTAAACCTGAAATCCCTTTAGAAACACAATGGCAACACTTACCTGAGGTATGATGACACAAATCCAGAGAAGGAAGAAGAAAAGTTTTTCACTGGAATCAGAGAAATGGTGGAATGGCTGGGTAGGTTATGTCTTTATTTACATCCTCCAAGAATCTGTCCGTGTCCTCTTTAGCTTACTTGAGCTGAAAGTTCTGATCACAATATGTCTGGCATTTATCTGTCTGTTAACTTTTCACATTTTCAACTTCTTCTCAAGAACCACTGGCTAGTTTTAACCAAACTGCCGCAAAGCTTCTTTGGTGAAGGGGATTTAAGATTCTTCAAATGAAGGGCAACGCTCTCCTTCAAAGGGAGATAATTCAGAACTAATGAAAATTTAATGACATCGTTTAAACATCTCAAGATTCATTTGACCAGAAAAGATGAAACATATGTGAAAGCTTCATTACAAAATGTAGATACAAGTTTATTCACGTTGTGAAAACCTTGGGTCACAATGGGCAATCAAAGTTTTACTGCCTCTACTGTCGTTTCAATTATATCAAAGCATAATTTCATGATTGGAATCTGCTCCATTCGGATGACCGATGTCGCTTTTTCTGTCAATTTTTGAAACATATTTCTTGGGGTTTTTTCTTAACATTTTCACCATCTGTTCAATAAGCAATACTTAAGATATCAGAAAATGATGACAAGTGCTTTATTTGAAACACATTCAATTTTTATATTAAGTTTTGGATTGTTTAATGAACTTAGAAAATAGTCATTTTAATCTGAAAACTTTATTTCAAAGTTTATGACATTTTAACCCTGGGTCATGCGCACTATCTGTGACCTTTAAAGACTGCAATTTTAAAAAAAAATTGAATGTGAAATGTGATATGTGAAAAGTGAACGTCATTGTCCAGGAGGTTTATGGGCAGCCCTCTTATATGTATCAACAAGTAGTGTAGATTCAAGTTTGCTCAAATCAAAACAACACCAACAAAAAGAAAAAAAAACAGTGCTTAATATGTATAAGTCAAAGAATCTTGAAAAAAAACTTTCATTGGATTAAATAAAGTGATGGAAGATAGTATGAGGCTGACTGTACATTATATCTAAATTGCAGTAGCCTTGTTTATTCTGTCTGGAGATAAAAATTATATTCAAGACCAAGATTTGATATACACTGTACTTTCAAAATTAACTCAAACTTCCCTTGTTTTTTTTCTCAAATGGATGCAGATTCTGAAAGGGCTTTCAGTATTGAAACAAAATAAAATATACACTTAATTCTGGTCTAAACAATGAAAGCTTCAGTGCCCTTTTTTCATCATGATGTAAATTTAATCAATATATTTAATTCAGGAAATATTCAAATTCTGCAATTGTAATTAAAAAGCCTTCTTTTCAATAAAAAAAAAATACTCAATACACAAAGGCTTATTGTATATATATGCAATATGTAATGTAATATATATAATCATGATGGTAAATATGTCGTGAATGTCATTACATGAATGTTATGATCAGATTTTTTTTACTTTCCAAAGAGGGTCATGACCCTCTTTTTGTGTTGCCTGCAGAGCAGAGTGACACTTAGGGATCACTTTACCTTTCATCTGTCTGTCAGTCTGTCCATCCATCTGTCTGCCTAACCGTCTGTCTGTCCATCTTATCTTTTATCTCCACAACTGTAAGAGATATGGATTTGACATTTTGCACATATATTGCTTGACACTATGGCTTTTGTAAAATAACCATGATGGTTACTAACCTTGTGACCTTTGAACTGATCAGTGACCCACTTTTCAAATAATTTATAGAGCAGTAGCCCTTTTCACAAAAAATCTTAAGTTTTTGCGGAAGATTTTAACTTAAGAATTTCTTACGATAAATCTTAAGTGCGTTTCACGAACGCATTCGTAGCAGATTGAACTTAAGATTTTACTTACGACAGACTTCGTCCCTAGCAACGACTTCAATATGCTTTATAATCCGTAAATAAGTGGGTGAAAATAAAATAAAACTTAGTTTTCAACAAATGTCAGCATAACAAACATTATTGACAACAAATATCGAATGCAATCGTTTGCGAAGCAAGGAAGTTTATAATCTGACGTCACAATCACAAGTCTGACGTAAAAGTAGGTCATACGAAAATCTTAAGTGAAACTTACATCGTAAATATTTTGTAGTGTATTTCATTCAATTTTTCGACAATAATTGTGAAAAAATATATAATGTTATTGTAAGTTGCATAACAAAGTTCAATTTAACGTGTATTTTGGTTTTTGCGTTTTTATTTTTACAATAAAATCGGTTTTAAAATACTTAAGAGAGGGTTGGGGCTCTCGTAAAGTTACGACAGATTTTGCACTTACGACTTTCTTAGGAATTTTTGTGAAAACGATTTTTATTATAAGTTTTCACTTAAGATAAAAATATGTCGTAAGATTTTTTGTGAAAAGGTCCACTGATAAACAGCTTATTGTTGACATTTAAGAGGTATAGCTGCACTATTTAGCATTTGTACTTTTTTCATAAGATATAAAATACCAGCATGACAGTCACTTGACCTTGACCTCCTTTTCAAAAATATTTTGAATGCTTAATTTAAAACCTTCCTTTTGAATCTTGAGAGACAGAGTTTTGATAACTAGCATATATATCACATGTTTATGAGTTTGTGACACTGTACTTTGAAAAACTGTATTACATGTATATGCACTTATCACAGAAAATGAAATTTAAATAATATGAAATTACATCGGGATCGGTATACTGAAATAGATTGTACTTCAAATAAAATTGTAGACTGACAATTGCAGTAAAGACAGACTGAAATCTCTCAAGTCACAAAACTGGGGAATTGTTGGATTAAACAATGTATAAAATGACAAATAAGTATTTCTGAAAATTTCAATTTCATTATTCATTTTATCCTTGAGGGTTGGGGAATCATATTTTTGTTTAATAACCACATATAATCTGTCGAAGTCTTTCTATCTGTGGATGTTTTTTCTTTGCATGCAAAAGCATGAACTAAAATACAAGTAGCAGATAATAGCTGACCACTCTTAGATTTATTTACGTCTTTAATGATGCTATTAAGCAGGCAGCACATGCATTCCTTGCAACACTCTAGTTATATGTTGGAGGTTGGCAAGTACTTAAGTAGGAATACGTTGGAAATTAAAAAAAAAATCTTCTTCTCTAGAACAGCAAAGCCATGATTTATTTCAAAGTTTATTAGCCAATTCCATATATTTTCTTTTTCAATTTAAAAAGCGATGTATACTTCATTGTAAATAGATTTAAAAAAAAATCTTCTTCTCTAGAACAGCAAAGCCATGATTAATTTCAAAGTGTATTAGCCAATTCCATATATTTCCACTTTCAATTTAAAAAGAGATGTATACTTCATTGGTAAATAGATTCATACTAACAGTCTTCATTCTCCTCATTAAATTTAGGATACTAAAGCCTTTAAAGCTTCAACAGCAATTTATTGCAGCAGCAAATATAATATATTTTGCTTATTTTCAATTTTCTCTGAAAAAAAGAAAAATTCAATATATATTCTAGCATCTCATTTTAAAAATATATATAACTGTACTATTATTTAAAGGTCTTTTTCGGTATATATTGTCATTGCATGAGTATCAGAATGGAAATGTTAATTTCTTATTGAAACGATGTGTTGATTTTAAATGAATTAGATAATATACATTCTGTAGCATTTTAAATTGAATTTTCTATTAATTCTGATATACTGTATGAGAAATCCATACATGCTGCATTATTAGTAGTTTACCTTTACAACTACGTTTTGCAGCCAGTGCAATTGCAATGAGACCAAACTGAAAAAAAAGTGCAGTATCCACCTTTGCAGCTGCGTTCATTTATGCAATAAGCAATGCACTTTGTTTCATCAATGGGAAATGGTGGTGGAACATGGCATGAATGAGATCCATCTCCCATGATGACTTGGACAGAGGCTAAATAGAATTTATAGCACACTGATATTGAGTATTTCCACTTTTGATATAAAATATCACAGATGCCATACTCTATAAAGATTGAAATATGCAAAGGAAATTATTCAGAAATTAAAACTTATCCAAGGAAAAAACTTTAGATTAAAATTAAGTACATACCTATCAAACACTCACACAGCATGATTAAAAGAAAAGCTCTCATCTTGGGATCTGTGGATGAAAATGTCATCAAGGTTGAATTTGTTTCTTAAAAATCAAAACTCTAAGAAGGGTTTCTCAAAAATTTGAGTACATGTGTATTATGAAAACCCAGATGTAATGTACATTTATTTACCAGTACTTAAGAATTCTGAGTAAGATGCAAAAGTTCCAGTCTAGCAAAGGTCTAGAAATACATACCAGTAAATGTTCAAGCAGTCATAAATAGTGGACTAGCTTCTGGTGATGCTTAGAGTGGGACAAAGATATCTATTTTATATTCTCATACAATGGCAGATGTTTGCTGTGTTGCAAAAAAAAAAAAATGATTAGTTGTTGATTGCATGATGACTATTAAAGTGCATAATTTTATGCAACTGAAAAATGTGGTAATACTTCCGTCAGAAAGAGAGGTCTAGATGCCATTCATGCACACATGGTGTGCAGGTGACATGTGGCATACATGATTTTTTAGGTCACCTGAGTAAACTCAGGTGACCTATTGCTATCCGTTTTTGTCTGTCGTTGTACGTTGTACGTCGGTCGTAAACTTTTGAACATTTTTAGCTTCTTCTCTGGAACCGCTCAACCAATTTCAACCAAATTTGGTATATAGCATTTATGGGTGAAGGGGAACAAAAATTGTGAATTTCATGGTCCCTGCCCCCCTGGGGCCTGAGGGGTGGGGCTAAAACCACCAAAAATAATGCAATCTTTAAAAATCTTCTTCTTTACTCCTGGACATCAAGCAGTCAAACTGTTAACATCATTGTAATAAGCATGGAGCCCTCTACCAAAATTGTGAAATTCATGGCCCCAGGGTCAGGGGTTCTGGTGCTAGGTTGGGGCTATATAGATCATATAGTGAAAGTGCATTATTTCTTTGAAAATCTTCTTCTCTGCTCCTGGGTATTAAATAAAGTTACTAAGTACATAGT